ATATATATATATATATAAGAGTAAATACAGCTTGACCACTTCTGGATAATATTTTGTACCGAGATATAAATGATGTTCCTTGACATGTACAACAATCACTATTTTAATAAGCAGGTACATTAACAGATTTCTTCCCAAATTGTAGAAATTCTTCCTTACTCAAGTCAATGTGCAGTTTATGAATATAACACATAATATTTTTGCCCTGCTTGGGGTAATTCTTACATCGCTTTAATGAGACTGACACATAAAGAGTTACAGCTCGTCTAATTTCAAATTAGAGAGGAAATCTTGTAAGCAACAACCCAGTTTTTTATTTAGATAAGCTAATGAACTGCCAGGTTGAAGGAAAGAGAGGACTAGGAAGAAGATTGATACAGCTAACCGACGACCTTAAACAAGGAAAGAAGATGACGTTCCAGGAATTAAAGCGAGAAGCCGAGAATAGGGACAACTGGAGAGCTCTTTTTGGGCAGAGCAATGGACCTGTCGTAAGACAGAACACTTAATAATAATAATAATGAACTGATCTCAATTCAATACTCCAGAAACCTGTGGAAAAGTTGAAATATACTAAGTTTAATTGTGATTACTACTTCAAATTTAATTCTACACAAGTCCCTTTGTGTCTTCCTTTAATATTAAGAATTCACCCTGCAAAAACTGTGAAGTTAACTGCACCTTCTGTCCAAGTACATGAGATTAGCAGAAGAATACTATGCACAGAACTGAAAAAACTGTGGCACTAGAACAGCAACACAAATCACACAGTTCTCTATTCAAACTTAACATGTAATAAAATGTTTCCTCAAACAGCGCACCAACAGGCTGATAACACTACACAAACTTATTAATAATGTCTTTGGAGTGAATGTTTTTAAACAGACATACCAAAGTTCAGACCCATGACTTGGTCTACTTACCTAATTGAATGAAGCGATCAAAGACAAACATTTTCACACAATTTTCATGGGTATTGATATGCTAATCATTATGCAACTTTATGAAGTATTATGCATTCTTTGCACGATGTGCATAATATAGTAATCTTTGACCATCTGTCTACATGATTCCACTCAAGAACTGGTGGACGAAATTTAATGAAACTTGGTATGGACATTGTATCACTGGGGTCTACCTTAAAATCAGACTTTTCAATTTCCTATACTCAGTAACATGGCTGGCAAACAAACTTGTAAGGTGAAATCATACTAACACGTGCAATAGGGAAATACAGTGATGAATGGTTTTGATTTTTTGGAAAACAAAACTTTGATCTAGTAATTCTTTAACATGGTGACTGCTGCAATGTACTGCTACGCTTATGTGGTTAACACATGAGAAGTATATGTGACAATGCAAGAGAATGCAAGAGTATTCTGGTATGGTATACATCTTTCCAGTTTTGTTTCTATTTTTGAATGTCTGTGCAACAAAAATATAAATGTTCATTTATAATTAACCTTCCATTGGTAATTATGAGCCCAACTTTTAATAATATGTTGACATTTTCTAACATTTTTGTAAATACCAGGATCAGAACTTGCCTACCACATGGGTAGCAGTCACAGCGGCGGTATTTTCATGCCACGGCGATATTTCCACACCAGATTTTGCAGGTGACGGTGTTGTCACAGCCCTGTGGAGGCCAAGCAGGTCTTGAACACAGAGCCCGGCTTGACTGTGTAGCCAGTTTTCCTCTCCAAATCTCTCACGCAGTGTTTCAATTTGCTTCTTTGTCTCCAGATGGTCTGCAGACAGGTGTACACATAAAGGAAACAACAGTTCAGAAATTTTAAATATAAAAACATCCACAGGACACATTTAACACATGTCATCATGCTTGAATCTGTAAAATAAACATTTTTCATGCTTTTATGGATATATGACCATGTTGAATATTCAATACTTATTTAGTAATTGTAATCCATAATCTTAAATCAATTACTGATCAGATACCAAAGAAAGCAAAAGGGGGCATTAGCAGCTATTATCAGCGTTAAAGGAATAAATCACTTGGAAGACCTTCTGGCTTCTTTAACCCTGAAGATGTAGGCAGTATGTTCCTTTGAAACATTGGTACCTAGCTACAAGTACACACAAGGTTACTACTCAAAATATAAACTTCCTCTGCCACAGTGAGAACCTCAAACATCATATGAACAGGAAACTTTGGATTCTATAAAAGTCAAGGGATTTCTTAATCAGTTTCTCAAAATTAACTCTACTCCATGCAGCTGGCTGGTCAGTCTGTCAGTTAGTGGAATGCGTGAGATAACCCAAATAAACACTAAAGTTACACACAAGAACCCCACTTCTGTATTCCAAAAAGCTGGCGTAATGTTGTGGTGCTTTGGCTTTCGCCGACAATTGTTTCAAACGCTGTTCAAATGATCAGCGGTAGTCCATATAAAAAGCTTACTTTTTATGCAGTTGTGTGCAACTTAATTTACAGTAATTGTGTACCACAGCAAAACAATTCTAAACATTGTAACAAATATGGCTTTATTGACCATCAAAAGTATTAAGAAGTAATATATCAAGATATCCGTCTTCTGGGTTATTGCGCTGTGTAGTCTGGTCGATGTTAACCAACGTTTCAGAGGTCATACTGCCTCCGTCATCAGGGCGATGAATCCCAGAAGACGGATATCTTCATACTCACCGCTGTGAGAACCTCAAGTCTTACAAGTAATATATCACATTTATTACATTTATAAGTGCCTGTTGTTTAGTAGCAAAGAATTTTACAAAATATGAAATCAAAGAATAGTGTTTGAAACTGAATAACTCATTAACAGATAATATCCACAAGATGCACGGCAGAGACCGAGGGTTCTCAGTTCTTTCAAGAGGAGCCACATTCGCCTTACAAGACTTGCAGCCCATCGGCTGTAAAGTAAAAACCCCATAGTACAGACCTTTCCTCTTAACTGCTTAGACATTCAAGTATGAGAAACAAAGCTCTTTGACAAACACTTACAAAGATATACAAGCACAAACTGAAAATAAAGTCCAAAGTAAACATAACATCTAAGTCAGTAAAAACCAACAATAACAAAACCTAAAATTATGGTTATTAATGTCCACACTGTTTGTACTTACCTATAGAATTCACCATGAAACTGGAGCTTAATTCAGTTTCTGCAGCATCACAGCCATGTTCCGAGATGACTGCTTTACGTACCCGACCGCTTCTCTTACAGTCATGGCTTTGGTGTGGCTTTGAACCAGACTGTCCACCTTCATAAAATGCAAAAACTGAGATTTTAAAACCACACAAATAAATCAATAACCCAGAAGACGGATATCTTCAAATAATAATTTCTTTCTTAAAATATTGTAACACTCTGATTAAAATTTCATCTGTTCTAGTTATAAAAAACAGTGGAATTTAAGATGGAATATAATATATACATGCCTAAGTAGCTGCAACTTAACAAATATAATAAATAGTGACATGGAGAAAAAACACATGTCACATGCATTCACAAACAACTGCACCGTACCTGCTGTATTTGCACATCCATCTTATGCCCCAGTCCACATAAAACAAGGGTGGAATGGTGTACTTGAATCTGTATTACATATACCAGAGGGAGGTTCCCAAAGTGTGGGGGTGGTTTTTGTATGGAAACCTTTTTTTAACGAAATATGGAGAAACATTTTTAACACCCTTTGCTTGGTTGTGGCAGTTTAGTTGTCTTACAGTGCTGTTTGCTTGCACTTGTTCTGGAAGGGGGGGCATGAAATTTATGAAATGTTTTAAGGGGGGCACAAGGTATAAAAGTCTGGAAACCTCTAACATATACAATGATTCTAAATGAAGGGTATAGTGGCTATTTAAACTGCATACAATAAAGGTTAAAAACTGGAAGTTTTTCAAAGCTATAATTTCTTGACCAATTTTAGTTGTGTATTTAAATTTTATAACAATATTTCTGTCTCCTGACATCTAGTCAAAATAATGGGCTTTAGAATAAATTCTGATGTTCATATACCAGCATATTTTCATGTTACCAAGAGAAGGACAATTACGTTACTGAATTAAGCAAAAATTGGTTTATAGTTTAGATGCGTCATGTTTGTGTTTTCAATTCATACATATATTTATTCTTCAAGTCTATACACAAACCATTTTAATATTGATGTTAAAAATTAAAATTGATATAAATATTTCGCGCTATTCATCGTTTCCTCGATGTTACAATTTGCGCTATATATTACAACATGTTTCGATGTCTCAGCATCATCTTCAGGTTTTATTTTTAAAACTATTCTACATTTTTTAATGCACGCTTTTCAGTAATTGTAGATTGTAGGTTGTAGTTGGTCTCAGTAAAACAAATATAAATACTAGCTTCTGTACAATGTTTATACAACTTCTTAACATATAAATGTGTTTCCTCTACCTCAAAATAAACCATATTTAGTTCCATAATCTGCTATTATAACTCACCTCTTTCTGCAATCAAAGATCTTTCAGACGGTGAAGAACTTCCAGCAGATATGGTACCTTCCTTACACGATTCCCTAAGAACAGCATCACCACCCAAAGAACCCACAGAAAGTCTTTCTGTCTTGGACAAGGGCAAATGATCCAACATAAACTATAAATAAAAGACTTGTTTCATCATTCATGTTGTAACAGGTAACAAGCGATGGAAAAGTAATAATGCAAACACTCTTTTTTATTACGAAACATCGCTAGTGAGCAGTATCAACATACATGTAAAACATAAAGGCAATGGGGAAACAAATTCAGGAACTCCCCCTGTTGTTCATTTAACTTTAAATAATAACCAACGTAACTATCTTAATACAATAATAAAAAAAACAAAGTGGACTCCTGAGTCTCATATGAGCAGTACATACCCTGCTGGTTGCTGCACAGTCATGAAGATGGCGGGCTGTACGAGTACGGTGTTGAGGATGAAAACTCAGTGGGTTACCCTCTAGGCTCAACCATGTGAGATCAGACAATCGCAAAAGTGGACTAAGTGCTTTATGATTTGTCAAGCAATTACATGACAAATCCAGTTCCAACAGACACTCCAGTGCGACCAAGCCTGTAAACATACCAAGTCATGTAAAGCTTACAACTGTATCAATCCATCTAGGATTAACTAAGTATACATTCCTTTTTACAGATTAAACAAGCAGCAAAATATTAAGTACCAGAATTCTCCCTTCTTAGTATTAACATGACTCTTAACTTTCTTAATAAAGTTCTCTAGCCACTGTTAGTTAGTGTCTTTGCTTATGGTTTATTTGTAGGTCAGACTTTGTGGTATAAATTGGCAGTAAGATTAACCCTTTCAAACTGATGCTTGTCCAAATAACATTTAATAACTCAGTATGTATCACAAAAAGAAACAACACTTCACCATTACGACAATCAACCGATTAATGCTATTTAGGGAAATAATCACTAATTATATAACACAAATTTACTGTCTTCTTAAGCAGTTGGTACATACATATACCATTTAGATACAAAGAGTCAATGAGGAATAAGCTGGAAGAAATATAAAAGGAAGCAGCCATGGCCTAATTAATGTTCTTTCCTGGCAACTGAATAGACAGTGAGCTGGGTTAGCTCTGTCAGTATAGTGACTAGCTACGAGCTCAACGACTAGGGTTCAATCAGCAGAGGATTTTTTCTGTAGCCTGCGTCCAGGCTGGCTCTGGGGCCCACCCAGCCTCCTGTCCAATGTATACCAGGGCCCTTTCCCGGAGGTAAAGCGGAGCTGAGGCATGATGCTGACCACTCACCCCAATCCAGTGCTGAGGTCTAGAATGAGTATGAGCTGTACCTCTTCTCCCCTTAAACAACCTAAATGGCCTGTAGCATGGCTGCTTTATGTTTTTATGTTTATTGCCTGGACACGCATAAGAAAACGAACAAAAAAATAAACCTTAATCAGAAAAGCTTGGTTTTAACCGGCACCTCCCAAACACGAAGCAGGAATACTGATGGCTCACCCACAGCTTTGAGAGCTCACAGAGGGGAAAAATATTATGTGGTACTGATGTTATCAGAATGAAGGCACTTACCTGATATATCTTCAATGTAATTGTTCTTTATGACTAGAACCTGTAATTTTCGACAGGCATCTTTATTAACTGTAGGGATAGATTCAAGGAGGTTATAGCTCATGTTCAAATATTTCAGATTTGGCAGACAGTCTATGGCACTAGCTTGAGAAATCCTGTTGTGACTGAGATCAAGGATTTGCAACCATGGAGCAAATTCCAGAGAGCGATCCAACAAATCTATTCCATTGTAACTAAATACAGCTTCTTTTAGGTCACTCCATACAAATCCTGAACTGCGATCAGCTCCACAGTCCAACAGAAGGTCTTCTAGCCTTTGGACACAGCGAATGCAAACTACAGACTGCAACTGAGCTCGTACACTCTGAATTCCATGTAACATATGCACTGGAATTTTTCTTAGCTCAAGATACTTCAGGTTTCTAAATTTACATATGTCTAGAACACTATTACCACAGTCACCTGTCACGGCACAGTTACTAAGTTTCAGGCCAACAGTCTTTTGCACAAAGTCATAGAGAAACTGAATATCATGAAATATTTCAACTAATGCATTCGTTGTGTTGATGACATTAAATGAACTATCACTCTCTTCATTATTCTCTACAATAATAGTGAATGCTTCATTAAGATTCCTTAACAATGCTGAAGTCAATGAAAGTTTGCTCTGTCCATTCAGCACTTTATCTCCATTCTCACGGAGCAAAGATGCCAAACTTGAAATGTCGTTCATTGTATTTTTTTATTACAAATCCTATAAATGTATTTGAGGCAATACAAATACAGAGATTCAATTCAGTCCAATATTATTAATAAAGTTAAAACCCTAAGCTGCATACTTATAACGTCAATCAATAATATACGTTTTGGACAGATTCTTACGAACGTTCGACTACGAATCTGCCACTTCTTTTGCACTTTTAGCTCCGTAAAGAGAACACTTCCTACAACACAATTTAATTTATTTTTAAATTACAGACTTTCACCATCACTTGCAACTGGCAGGATAATACAACGCTCCCGCGTTTTAATAAATTCTTTGAGTCCTTTTAACCTTGCTTTCCATTAATATCGTTTCAAATTCCGCCTTGTACGTACAGACTTCTATCATAAAATGTCTGTCATACTGTTCCATTTTCGTTACTCTTATCTCTCACAAAACTGACAAAAATGTACGGATATCAACAACCCATCAGCTGCTTAGTAGATTCGCATTAACATAGCCGACTCTGTTAATGCCACAAGATATCTTGGAAAGGTATGAACGAAATTGTTGCCAAAGAGTAGAGTCAGATGTTGTGCTTGTTTTTAACTACAAACACCTTTGTTGTTAATAACGTACTTAGACGTGTATTTATATGTCAGTACAAACATTTACACATGCTACGAGCAGATGCTGTATGTAATCTTACAAAAATGCCACTTAATTAATCTTAATCACTTGATGACATATTATGCTGTGTTTCATGTCGACAACCGTAAAATAAAGTCATCTGGAAAACTGTTATTTGGCGGTATGGGTTATTGTGTAGTTGTAGATACATTGGTAGCTTGATTTATTCTCTTCTCGACATTCCCATATCGTATCTGAAAATAGCTATTAAAACTACACATTTAATCTATTGTACTGTATTTGTATTGTGACATATTCAATACCTCTGGCTTATGCCTATGAAGGAGCTGTGGAATGTAAATAAATTCCATAAAATGCAGGAATGATATTTTTCAACTGGTAAAGACTACTTCTGACACAGAGCACAAAATTTAAGCGTCGAATCTAACGCAAATAAATGATGCTGCGGAGTCTACGGGTAAAAGGTTTTTCCTGGAAAGAGAAGTTCAAACGATTCTCAGGTACTTGCTGCCTGCATCATCAGAGCGCACTGACCTAACCGTGCAGAGCCCAGATTAAAACGTGAAGAAAACTACAATGCTACTGATAAATTAATTAGCGCCGTGCGCTGTGCTGTGCCCTATGTGTGACTCACAAGTAAACACAACGGCGACGTAACAGTAGCCCAGTCGGTAAGAAGGTACACCACTCTTCAACCATCAAAATTCCTTCTCCACCAATCACTAACACTACTCACACCCCATGAATAATTTTGAAACCCTGATATAGTAAGTAATCTGTGTCTCAGAAGATCTTAATCCATCTTTAGAGTAAAAAAGGAATGTACAATAATTTTCACACAACTTTCATCCATCAGTTGCAGATATTCCAGCAAAATGAGAGTTCCTTAAAAGAAACATTTCATCCATTTCAATCAATGATCAAGTTATTGAAATGTACTGAACCATAAAGTAGTCTGATATTCACAAGGACTGAGGTCCTTTGAGGTTTAAAAATTGTCAAAAAACACAAGCAAACATGTTTTGATCATAGATATTTGCATTCAACTTTATGATTAGTAATCACTCATATACTCAGATCTACAGAAAACAATATTTTCACTGACTTCAATACATAACATGTGAAAAAACTAAAAAGTTTACAGATACTAAATATTATTAATAGATTTACCAGTCACATGCTTGTTTGTTTGCCATCAGCCTTTCGACTGGTTTGATGTGGTCCTCCATTTTCGACTGTCTTGCGCCAATCTCTTCATTTCCACATACTTTTTACAGCCCACATCCTCAAAAATCTGCGTCACATATTCCAATCTTTGTCTCCCCCTTCAACTGTTCCTTCCATTACCAAATTAACCAATCCTATGTGACTCAGAATGTATCCTACCATCCTATCTCTTCTTCTCATAAGATTTTTCAATAGACTCCTTCCTTCGGGTGTCCTGTCTAAGACCAGCTCATTTGGTACTTTATCAGTCCACTTAATTTTCAACATTTCAAATGCTTCTACACTCCTTCTTTCTGCCTTCCCCACTGACCACGTTTCGCTTCAGTACAGGGCTGTGCTCCGAACATATAACTTCAGAAAATTCTTTCTTAATTAAAGGTCAATGTTCGACACTAGTAGACTTCTCTTTTTGCTTGTACTAATCTGTTTCTAATGTCTTCCTTGCTTCGTCCATTTTTTGTGAATTTGTGAGTCTCCTGATTGAACTGGAGTGATACCAGAATACCGACGCCGAGCGTCGCGACGCCTACCATTTCGACCCCACCCCAAGAACGCAGGAACGATTCTAAGACAATTAAAATACTATTTACAGCGATTTTAGAAAATCGACGCCCGGCGTCGCGACGCTTATACTTATGACGCCTGCAAATAACTTAAAATTGACAGCAAAAAGGTCCCAGATGATATTGAATCCTCAAGTACAAAATCGACGCCTAGTGACGCCATCAAAAGACGCCTAAAGAGGCATGTAACTATGATGACATTCGAAATAGTACTAGATAAACGACGCCAAAAGTAGCGATGCTTCCAAAAGACAAAATTTTACCAAAGACGGCGCTCCAACCTAACCAAACCTAACCTCAGCTAACCTAACCTAACCTAACCCAACCTAACCTAACCTCAGCTAACCTAACCTAACCTAACCCAACCTAACCTAACCTACATCAACAAAATCCCTCCTTCACTTTCTTCTCCCTCCTCTGGTGCCTTCCCTTGGCAAAGGGTTGCGACGCCGAACATTACGATGCCCTCAAGAGACGCCAAATTTACTGCGGAAAAGTCTCGTGATTGAACTGGAGTCATACCAGAATACCGACGCCGAGCGTCGCGACGCCTACCATTTCGACCCAACCTCAAGAACGCAGGAACGATTCTAAGACAATTAAAATACTATCTACAGCGATTTTAGAAAATCGACGCCCGGCGTCGCGACGCTTGTACATACGATGCCTGCAAATAACTTAAAATTGACAGCAAAAAGGTCCCAGATGATATTGAAACTTCAAGTACAAAATCGACGCCGAGCGTCGCGACGCCTAGTGAAGCCATCAAAAGACGCCTAAAGTGGCATATAACTATGATGACATTCGAAATAGTACTAGATAAACGACGCCAAAAGTAGCGATGCTTCCAAAGGACAAAATTTTACCAAAAGACGGCGCTCCAACCTAACCTAACCTAACCTAACCTCAGCTAACCTAACCTAACCCAACCTAACCTAACCTAACCTACATCACCAAAATCCCTCCTTCACTTTCTTCTCCCTCCTCTGGTGCCTTCCCATGGCAAAGGGTTGCGACGCCGAACATTACGATGACCTCAAGAGACGCCAAATTTACGGCGGTAAAGTCTCCTGATTGAACTGGGGTCATACAGAATACCAACGCCGAGCGTCGCGACGCCTACCATTTCGACCCAACGTCAAGAACGCAGAAACGATTCTAAGACAATTAAAATACCATTTACAGCGATTTTAGAAAATCGACGCCCAGCGTCGTGACGCTTATAATTACGACGCCTGCAAATAACTTAAAATTGACAGCAAAAAGGTCCCAGATGATATTGAAAACTCAAGTACAAAATCGACGCCGAGCGTCGCGACGCCTAGTGACGCCATCAAAAGACGCCTAAAGAGGCATGTAACTATGATGACATTCGAAATAGTACTAGATAAACGACGCCAAAAGTAGCGATGCTTCCAAAAGACAAAATTTTACCAAAGACGGCAACCCAACCTAACCTAACCTAACCTAACCTACATCACCAAAATCCCTCTTTCACTTTCTTCTCTCTCCTCTGCTGTCTACCCTTGGCAAAGGGTCGCGACGCCGAACATTACGATGCCCTCAAGAGACGCCAAATTTACTGCGGAAAAGTCTCCTGATTGAACTGGAGTCATACCAAAATACCGACGCCGAGCGTCGCGACGCCTTCCATTTCGACCCCACCGCAAGAACGCAGGAACGATTCTAAGACAATTAAAATACCATCTAGAGCGATTTTAGAAACTCGACGCCCGGCGTCGCGACGCTTATACTTACGACGCCTGCAAATAACATAAATTGACAGCAAAAATGTCCCAGATGTTATTGAATCTTCAAGTACAAAATCGACTCCGAGCGTCGCGACGCCATCAAAAGACGCCAAAAGTGGCATATAACTATAATATGACATTCAAAATAATACTAGAAAAACGACGCCAAAAGTAGCGACGCTTCCAAAGGACAAAATTTTACCAAAGATGGCGCACCAACCTAACCTAACCTAACCTAAACTCAGCTAACCTATCAATTTAATTATTTAATAATTTATCAATTAAGGTACTTGTGGGTTATCGGGACACATAGCTTTAAAAATAAGTTAGGTTAGTTGTCATTTATTGAAAGTATAAAGTCAGCTTTCAAGTATATGTCATTTATCCACACACATTAACCTAAACTAACCTAACCTATTTTTAAAGCGGTGTCCTGATAACCCACAAGTACCTCAATTTCTTAGTTCTAACTTATGCTCACACTTAATCTTGTATAAAATTCAAAGTCATCATACGCTGCCTTTCCCGTTATCTGTACACGACAATGGTAATATTTTCCTAGAAATGACTAATCTGTAATATCAATTATCCTGTTGTCCTGGAGTTGTTTCCCACTAATAAAGTAACCAACTGTTTATATGATTAAACATACAAATCAATTTCACACAATTTCTCCTCAGTCACATTATCCATTCACTAAATTCAGCAATAAAGTTGGCCATCTTACAGTTGGTAGTTATCCTTTACTGTTTTAAAGAGTCCTGCTACAAGCCATGGAAGCACTTGTAGGAAGAGAAGGTATAGATCCTAAATTAAATTATTTAATTTTATAAAGGTTAAGTTATTTAAATGTATCAATAAAAGCCAAGTTACATTAGGTCTCCATTCTCTCGGCACACAGCGCATTTCAACATAACTGAAATAATTTTATCTTGAAAAATCAGATGTGATACATCTTCAATTATGTATCAAAGTATTTCCAGTAAATCCTAAAACCTGATCCAAGAAAATCTGTATGAGAAAATCAAAGATGTTTTGATAAATGCTAAATAAAGGCCTCTTCGTGTATTGTCAATTATAAAATTATAACTCTGAAAATATAACTTGAAACTAACATATATGACAATGACTTCCTCTGAAAGAGAAAGCTACTACTGATTCAAAACATATTTCCTGCTCACTTGGTATCATCAATTTATTTTTGACTAACATCGAACTGCGCATGATGTACGATTAGGGTTATGAAAAACACATCAAGGGGAAGATGGAAGCAGTAAGGACCTCTGATATGTCGGTAAACTTCTACCAGACTATGTAGTGCAATAACCCAGAACACAGCAATCTTCACTCCATCAACTATTTATAGACTTCAAGAAAGCCTAAGCATTGCTAATGAATCATTCAAACTGTGAAAAAAATTAATGTACTTGGGGACAACACCAACAAGTCAGAATGACATTCATTACAAAATCAAAAGCATATTAAATTCAGGGAATGCTTGCTATCATTCAGATCAAAATCTTTTGTCCTCCAGTCTCACCAAGTCAGAATGACATTCATTACAAAATCAAAAGCATATTAAATTCAGGGAATGCTTGCTATCATTCAGATCAAAATCTTTTGTCCTCCAGTCTCACCATAAAAATATAAAGATTAAAATCTACAGAAGTGTAATTTTTCCAGTTTTGCTGTATGAGTGTGAAACTTGGTCTCTCACTTTGAGGGAGGAACATAGATTAAGGATCTTTGAGAAAAGAGTGTTGAAGATGATATCTGGATCTGAAAGGGAGGAAGATGGATCATGGAAGAGACTGCATAATGATAACCTTCATGGCCTCTACTCCTCACCTGATATTATGGTGATTAAATTGAGAAAGATAAGGTGGGCGGAATGTACGGCACGCATGGAGGAGAGGAGGAATGTTTACAGGTTATTTGTTAGGAGGCCTGAGGGAGGAGACCACTGGTAAGACCTAGGCTTAGGTGGTTGGAAAATGATGGACTTTAGGGAGATAGGAATCAATGGGGTTAACTGGATGCAGTTAGCTCAGGATAGAGTCCAGTGGCAGTCTTTTGTGCACACGGTGATAAACCTTCAGGTTACATAAAGAAAGTGGGATATTCTTTGACAAACCGAGTATACAATCGACTTTTCAAAGAATTTCTTGGACCAGAATGAGTGAGTGACATAGTAGGTTGTGGCCTCTTATGATTAATGGTTCCCTAAAGTTTGCATGCCATCTAAATTTTGTAATTATTTTAATGCTGAGAGTACATATCTACCTCTAAGAAACTTAATATAAAAACTGTTTACGAAAAAAGTGTAATGACTTGGATATATTTGGTTACCAATTATAATTATCTTTGTTCTTCCTGTATTAGATGACGGTTACGCTCCAAATCACAATATGACATCACTTTTTGACAGTTAATATGAAAACTGAGCGATTGGCCTGCTGGTATCGTCACACACGTGCGTTCCGCCTGTCACGTGCTACGTCATGCAGGTAGAACTGATGGATTTCCTACAGTCCAAACCAGCGGTTCTCAACCGGGGTTACAATACCGCTCAATTACATCCTATACGTCTGCGGCTGTCATATTTTCAGTTTTCAATCGAGTTACCAACGGACGTATACGTTAATTTTCTGTGCTTATTAGCCGGAACTTTTATTTCAATCATTGACAAGTTCTACCTCCACTGGTCGCTATCCGTATTTCAGTTTTTAGACCATCACATTGTTCAGTTGGTACTTCCTATCCAATTTTGTCATGTGTGTATAAATTGTATGCGTTTTGCATTTCTGTCAAATCTTCGTTGAGGACGTTGCAAGTACTTGGTAGCTTATTACTCAGTTATGCGGTTATACTACGTGCTTTTACTTACCACTACTGTTTGCACCATTCACTGTAAAAAGTTTAAAGATGAAGATAAACCTGCTTGGGCGAAAAAGGATATTCGTGATTACAATGATGCAGATTTAGAGAGTTTACTTGAGCAGTGGGAGGTAAATCTGTGAGCATTTATTAAAAAAAAACCTAATCTGATTTTGCAATATTGTCCAAGCAATTTTTCATATTTTGTAGGAAGGTGATGAACCCCTTGAAGAGGATGAGTTGCCAGAGCATCTTCGCCCACAGCCAAAAATTGACTTCACTCAGGTAAATAAACTAATAGTTCTCGAAATTGTTAAATGTATTTGGAACTATATGTGAAAATGACCCATGCTCTCACTTTATTTTATATTTTATAATGTTGCTGATCAGTCAATAGGTTATGTATGCACTGTATTAAGACTTCGTATGGAGAAAATATTTTGAACATGTATAGTGATTTAAGGAGCATCTGGAAGGAAACATTCATGACATATTTGAATATACTATCTTGTGTGTAGGAAATTAAGTAATCTGTGATAGCCTTTATTTTATCTCACATTCAAGGCTGATACATTAGCAACAGTTTATTTATTGCATCTACAGCACTCTCCTATAGGGACTGTACACACATACAATTTCAAAAGAATATGAAAACATTCTTCATTGTAGTTGTAGCTGTTCAGCCATTAGGTAAATATGTGCTATTTGTATCTTACTTGGCTCATACATTAATGCACATGTGTGTGTATTACCTTCTACCAGTTTCCAGGATGTATAAAAAATGTGAATATGATAAAGATAAACATGGATACTTTTCTCATGGCTGAATAGCAAAAATGCAATGTGAACATATGAATGATTGCAGTGACAGTAATGGGCAGGCAAATGATAAAATGAAACCAGAAAGTTAAGAATGGTTCAGGTAGAAATATTCATAAGTTATTTTTCTGTTCATAGCTTCACATATACTTGATTTTTCTCAGATAGTTATTATTTAATGATTTTCATTTCATATTGTAGATTGAGCAGGATGTCACCATCACCATTTATATTTTTTAACTAAAATGACTTATTACTCAGCATTTGCACCAGTTTCTAAACTGAAAATGGGTTACTTACTATTCACCATAAAAGTAGTTTTGACCGAAAATGCCTTTTCTTCAGTTTTTCAACTAAATGTGTGTTGTTATGAACATTAACCTTAAGATAGTCCTTTTGGCAATGTTATGTATAAACACATCATGGAGAGATTTGCGAGATCAGGATCATGAAAGAGTTCAACGCAGACATCCAGTGGCAGTGAGCACATGCACCATTTTGATTTTGATATTGAACGGAGTCTGCTCAGAACCACAGTGTGTTCACATTTGCATGAGCCCTTTTCTTTAGCTTACAAGAATGAATTTTCCAGTTGGTTTGTTTAGATTATGTTAATTATATTTCAGGTAGATATGACTAAGCCAGAGAATCTGTTAAAAGTAACCAAGAAGGGCCGTACACTGATGGTTTTTGTAAGTGTTGATGGAAATCCATCAAGGGAAGAAACTGAAGGCATTACAAAGTTATGGCAATCTAGTTTATGGAATAATCACATCCAAGCAGAAAGGTTAGGCACAAGCCATTTTGATACTTAATATGGTGAACTCTGCCATGTCCTTTTGAGAACCTGGCAAAATACTGAAAGAAATTTGTGATTTATTGAATGCACAAAACAAAATATTTTGGATAAAGCATGTTTTTATTCAGTTTTACATGCATCTTCTGCCTTTCATTAGCCCAGATAATTGGAAGTTTACTGTAAAATCAAAAAAACTTTAGAACCATAAATGACAATTTATGTACGGTAAATCAAAATATATGAAACGTTATTTTATTGTAAATTATGTACCCATGAATGATGAATGTGAAGACTTCTTTTGATGAAGATGATGCATTTATAACACAAGGACTAAACAGTTCGAAGTCAATGGGTCATTATGATCGTGAGAAAATGACCTCAAATTCTGTCAGAATTGTTGCATTGACAGTTTGGGATTGCCAGGAGTTGAAAAGATTGTTTTAGGTTTAACAAATACAGATGTGGGACTATTGGAAATATTAGGAGAAAAAATGCTAGGATGTGTGTTGGCATGTACAATACTAGAGCATGTTTGGCTGTTTATATTGGCATTTTTCATGTGTGCCAAAAACAAAAATTAATTTGTCTAAGCAAACACACAGATTATGTTTTACTGTATATACATATTGCCAATTTTTTTTTATAATTCAAATTCTTCTGGCTACTACTTATGCCCCAGTTTTATTTTAGCCATTTCCTGTAAATTTTAAAGTAGCCCATCCCTTTATAAATGTTAAAAGGGTTCTGCAAAGGGGCAAAAAAGCTTTTCTCAGGTAGACACTTATATGTACAGTGCACGATTAAAAAACCAGAAGACAGTTTTTTTAAAAAAAAAAAAGTGAACCTTTCAATTCAGGAATTCATTCCTCAAGAAATGTTGAATAAAAACTAGTTGTTTCATTAAAGCCTGAATAACAGTATGAATTTTACTTTCAAAGATAACAGTGAAGTCAGTATGTCTGTCCTGGTTTTCCATTTCATATAGGTTTAGGTTTTAATAAACAGGAACCCCTTGAAAAGATATGTGATATTTGAGGTTCTGACAGCAGTGAAGATGTCCATGTTCGTCTTCTGGCTTATAATGCTGTAGAGACTTGTAGGTAGGTAGAGACCAGTATGTTGGATAAATGTACTCTTTCCATATTTAGGGCCAAAAATAGAGAATAATTATCCAAAATTATGGTGTCTGCCTACAAGGCATTGAGACTTGCATATTAATGATGTTTTTGATTAACAGCTTTCGTCTGTTGTGTTTTTTCCAGATATTTGGTGGCAGATGACAGATCAATATTTTTGTTCAAAGATGGTTCTCAAGCATGGGATGCAAAAGAATTCCTAATTGAGCAAGAAAGATGTAAAGAAGTAGTCATAGAAAATAAACCATACTATGGCAAACATTCAGAGGAGGTAAGAATATAGGACTTTATGCAACTGGACACTATTTTGATAGCACTTTCTTCATTATTTAAACATTTAAATCTTACTAAAACTTTTACAGTATAAAGAAGAAATTGAAGAAGAAAATAATAAAAGGAGAATGAAGAAAACGGATGAGCTGTAAGGAGAGTCCAACATATTATATGCTGATGAAGTATAAGTGATTTTTGTTCATGTTGTGGTTATACCCTGTCATTGCATTTTTTGTAATTTTTGTAAGAGTACCATAAAGTTGTAAAATATACATGATCTGTCAATGATTTTCTATAAATAAAACTGTACAAATAAACAATTTGTGTTTAGTAGTGCATTTGTTATAACTTTGTGAAGCTGTTAACTGTAATGAAACTGTAAGTACAAAGCATGAATTACTGCAAAAAACAAAGATGGTGTTTGGAAACACATTTAATACAAAGCATGAAGCCCTATGGCTTTTGTTTCTAAAAATTTCACACTTCAGTTTTGTTTATCACCATCCTGATTGATTGCTGCAACTTCTCGTATAATTTCTTTCACAGCGCTTGCCAGTGCCTCTGGATTCACTCCATTTTCACATAATTGAATGCAGATGGCCAACGTCTCTGGATCCAGACCTGTGTTGAGAAGTCTGGAGATTTCCAGTAGTGTATGAAATGCCTCCCTTAACACTTGATTGTTACCAGAATCAGCCATCCTATGCTCTGCTGGCATTGTTCATCTGCAAAGAGGATCTTTTATATTATGCTATTGTATTTCCAGACTTATATATTTTATAACATACATTTCGGAGCTGGGGTAGCTCAGTCAGTATAGTGACTGACTACAGACTTGACAGCCATAGTTCAATGCCCATCAGGACCAGGGGTAGAGGATTTTCCCTCTAGCCTCTGCATCCAGATTAGTGCTAGGGCCTATCCAATGGGTACCAGGGTATTTCCTGGAGGTAAAGCATGGCCGGAGTGAATTGGATGCCACAAGGAAGGAGAAAGAAAGTTGGGTGAGTGAAGGATTAAGGATGCTATAGCAGGGACAAGATGGAACGCTAGTGATCGGGAAAAGAACGATATTTGGAAACCAGAAGACACATCCATGCTTGTTCTGTAGCACTGATGTTCAGACTTCAAGAATGGATAATGATTAAAGTACAAATATTTACCAGAAGTGACCGAGGGATATGCTGTTTTTACTTCTGACCTCCGGTAAGATGTATCTTTTCTTCAAAATCTATCTACTTCCCGGTTCGAACAACTTCCTTCACGTGACGGTTGTCTTATAACATTTAATTCCACCCAGTATGCCTACCTATGCATAACTGTAGGTTAAATATACAGCTGACCGATAACATTCCTCACTCTACTTGTTTCCCTGACAATAAATTCACCTATGTATATCTACGTACACTGCAATTTCATAAACATGCCATTCCACGTTCACCAACATCATGTACGTCAATTTTCCTTATAAGGTATTGCGTGTAGAATGTAATTAACCTACGATAATCAGTGATGTGTATAATAGTTTATGTTTAGAGACAACAGAAACATAGGACGATTCCACACATCACTGACAGTACGAGAAAAACGAATTCGTTGATCACAAATGCTGAAGAGAGCTAAAGCACATTATAAATAATTACAAGTTATATTTATTTATATAATTTACACAAATACCAACATCTCCAGTCTAGTAAACAGATTGGAGTGAATTCTAGAACGTACCTTATGGGTCATTTCAAAAGTCAGGTGACTGCTAACCCAACTTTAAGGTTATTGAGAGAGGACGCATAAATCTTCAGTTTTTATTAAAAAATGGCACTTCATTCAGCTATAAAGGGGAAACTTGTCTCAGTTATTGGTGATGAGGTATGTATATACATGCATAATTACTTAAACTGCTGGGAATATAATATGATAGAATTTATTTAGTAGGATTTGGTTTACATGGAGCTACACACCAAACGATATCCAGCTTAGAATTTATTTGCATTCCATAGATTGTTCATAGTATAAACAAAGGATATGAAGCATGTCATTATACGAAAACCAGCACATTGTAAATGAAAACGACCAATGACCTGAGAGTAGCAAATGCTCTGGTGTGGCTAGTAGTATGCCACCAGACCATTTAAAATTGGAGGAACATAAATATTTTATTTGAAACAACAGTGGCATAATGTTAAAATACCTTTGCGTTGTGGTACGATTATTGGGGGATCTGTTGATAGTCTTTTGAAAGACCTGACTTCCAGACCAGGATTCACAACTGTGACCAGCACTATAACTGACACTTGTTAATAACAGGTGTCCTGTTAGATCTTGTCAAAAAAAATGTAATTCGCCCATAGTCGAGAGTCATTTACAAGTACTTTTGTATTTGTAATCAGTCTTCCTTGCCTTGCCTGTGGTAAGTGGGCAAGCGTATTTCTTGAGCCATAGTTAAGCATATTTGGTCATGTGAGGATGGAAACATTAAGATGGGACTGGAAATGTATATTTTAATGTGTGTGTTGTTCTTTTCCAGGATACCTGTGTGGGTTTCCTTCTGGGGGGAGTTGGAGAGATAAATAAAAATAGACATCCAAATTTTATGGTAGTTGATAAGAGTAAGTATTGCATTCACACAAATTGCTCAGGAGATTGTGTTGTAGGTGATAACCAGTGTTTCTTCAACTCGTTGAAAACTACATACAAGACTTTATGGCAACACAGTCCAGAAGACCACAATCCACATTTTCACTACCATGAGAACCTCAGATCTCTTTTCATAGTTCATTTGGCCATGGTAATCATCACTCATACTACTTTCTACAACTGGGCTCCTGGCAGAAAACTGCCCTTTAATGCAGTAGACAACAGTGAACCTGTTATCCCATTGGGAGTATTCAGCACCATAGAAAGGGTAGTAAATTGGCTAATTTTGGCCTTCCCTAATCCTCTCAAACCCTGTGACAGTAAATTAACTTCAGAAGTCTCTTGCAGACAGAGTGAGATAGGTGTTTTCTGGGAATGAAAGTAAGTTAAGGAGCTCACCAATGTATACAAGGCAGATCCATGAAACTAGAATTACATAACAGTATGTGTATGCATATATTAATATTTTGTTTGTATATTTTAATGTTTCTTACTTTTTGAGTAACGATATTTATTTCCAGATACCAGTGTCAGTGAAATTGAAGAGTGCTTCAAAAGATTTGTGAGACGAGATGATATTGACATCATCCTCATCAATCAGAATGTAGTGTACATTTTTATCTTCTTGATTTTAATTGAGTGTCTATTTTTTATTTATATTCTAAAGTTAATACACATAATACTTTTATTCTTACATGCTAATATTAAGTATTTATCAATATATGTGCATATCTTTAATCTAAATTAGCACTGTTATTAACATTAAGAAGTGGTTTCTTAACAGTGTGATTTATCATGATTCTTGGTAAAGAATATTCATGAGGCTGTGCATATAAAAATACAAAATTCCATTATAAAATGAAAGTGTTCATTTGTATCATTCTAGGTAGCAGAGATGATTCGTCATTGTATTGACAGTCACATGCAACCCATTCCATCAGTATTAGAGATTCCATCAAAAGACCACCCATATGATCCCACAAAGGATTCTATTCTGCGTCGAGCTAGGGTTAGTATACATGCAGTTCATATAATAAAAACTTTCCAAGGGATTAGCTCTATCTAGTGGGCCCAACTGTGTAGGAACCTGAAGACGGAGATAGAGTCCCATCTCCGAAACGTCGTTTTTACGTTTTATATTTACTAGACGATGGATAATATCCAAGGAAATTTTTATTCAATTAATATCTTTCTTGTATTCCAACTAAAGATATGAACTCACCTTAAAGTCAATGAAGTTGCAAATATACTTGCACATATCTAAATGCACACACGCATGTAAAATGTATATTTATCAATAAAATAGTTATTTCCTTTCCTCGTGTTTATTACATTTAATGCTAGAATGTAGCTATAAAAAAATCAGCTTTAAAAGCCAATGTTAGTATCAAGTTTTAAGAATGGAAATGAACAACATTTACAACTGCACTAGCAGTAATCATAATACAAGAGATATTGTGTATAACTTTCATAAACTGTGAAGTAATTAATCTAAACTGTTTCTTTGTTTCAGGGGATGTTTAATCCAGATGATTTTAAGTAAACATCATACATGCCAGTCACTTTTTTAATATTTATAAGGAAATGACATGTGCACACATATTTAGTGTTCATATTTGGGGAGTTAATAGTATCCTATGTAAATGGTGGTAACACAAATATGGACTATGTAATGTACAGTAATAATACCTTTTGTTGTGGTGGAATAATATGTATATAATTATAGTGTATTATATTGAAAAGTTATGTTCTGCTTCCATTAAAACCATGAGAATTCATTCCATTATGTTTGTAAAAGAGATTTTATTGAGCACAAAAATGTTAAAATTCACTTACACTTTGCATATCTTATAATTCTAGAGCCACAAAAATAAATTGGTTTAACAACAGAGAAAAATAGATTGATATATTATTCCATTCATTATATATGTTAGTACTTATTAAGGCTTTATGAAATACAGACACATCAATTACCAGAGACACGATATTTTGTGTTTCTAACATCCGACATTTACTACGTAGTCAACAGTTTACCCGTGCAATTTCAAAGTGTGGGCATTTAGTTATTGCAATGTGAATTCTTTGTTAGTTTTTAAACAATTAACAATTGTAATACACATAACAAATGAGAAAGTAAGTTTTTCCTGTGTGTGTATATATATATATATATATATATCAAGAACACTCGTTTAAAAATATTAACTTCACATACTAATGAGGAATTTAGATGATTTTGTGGCAATAATACCACAAACAATATGCAGTGAAAATACAAGTATGTGGTTGAAATTCCATTGGATTTGTATTTGTTTTGGGGATGGGACTGAAGGGAGGGTTGGGCAACAAAACTATGTAAATACAGTTGTAATACAGAGACTGCACTTCCTGCAAAATGTCCCTGGTTGGACTCACAGTATTTATCATAAAATCTATAAAGCCACATATAGTGAATCAATCTTAAGATGCAGATTTATTGAAGTGCAATGCAGTGTATTACCCTATAGAAAGGTAATGCCAATTAAATATGGCAGAACAAGTATACATTTGTCCCAAGCAAGCTTGAGGACGAGAGTAAAATGTAACTTAATGATCATGAATTTAACTTTCACAACTGTATAAACAGTAATTCTTATTTCCTTATATCTGTGCATGGTGATGTTGGTCCCATATACTATGTATTTGTGATTAATTTAGAGAGGCTTTGTCTTGGTACTATTTCATCAATACTCAAGTGAGCAGTAACAGATGTACTTATCCAAGATTAAAGTGCTCCACTGTGATTACTGCTACTAGTTTTTTGACTTTTCTATCCTGTAAGGAAACAGCAGTGAAAGGTGAAGTTTTTGTATAGATAGAAAAAACAGGGACATCTAACAGCTATTTAATCTGATACCACTGTGTGACAGCCATCTCCGCCTCTCTGTCATTCTCAAAACGCTGACGCTGACCGGACAGGAATTTCTTGAGGTGTAGGAAAAGATGGAAATCACTGGGAGCGAGGTCCGGGCTGTAGGGTGGATGATTAAACACCTCCCAGCTGAACTCCTGCAGGAGACTTGCTGTCCGTCGAGCCGTGTGCGGCCTAGCGTTATCACTGACCGCACTTCACGGTCGGCGGGAGCTGGAATAAGAACTTCCATCTTCAACAGCTGCAACGATGCTAATGTGAGAACGCGGGAAGTTCCGTTAGTGCATGCGCCATGCTACGTCATTGCTCTATCACGTACGCACAGTCGCTTCGCGCAGTATAAGGTTTGCTAGCTGTGGGACGAGTGGGAAACTTACTTTGAGGACGCGCCTCGTAATAAGATTGCTGCTTCCATCTAACCAGTTTTCCACTGGGTACAACTATTTGGGTTTAAATTATAGTAATAATTAAAGGTTTCAAGATTCATTTGACAATTACCGAAGGCTACATCATAGAACAGCGTAACCCATACATTCTTTTTCAATTGCTATGGTGATTTAGTCATGATTTCTCACCAGCCAGTCTTTCTAACATGTCATCTCTCTGAAACTAGTATAAAAAATGTATGGAGTTCACACATCTGAATTAAACTAATGTTAATGTGACCACTCACCTCCATCTAGTGCCAAGAATAAGAACAAATGCAGCTTTACCTTCAGTCCCCTGTATGTTTTCCTGGCATTGTGCTTAAACACAGGGACAACTTCACCTTCATAGGATTTGAGGTTTTAACGGTGGTGAGTCTGGGTTGTTGCGCCGTGTAATCTGGTAGAAGTTTACTGACATCTCGGAGGTCCTTGCTGCCTCCATCAGCAGGATGATGAAGGCAGCAAGGACCTCTGAGAGTGTGTAAACTTCTACCAGACTACACAGCGCTGAATGAAAACAGCCACAAACTTCACCTTCATCTTTTACATCAAATCAGTCACATATGTACAAAGGTAAGAACTCAGTTTGAAAATTTAGATCTTTACACATCTCTAACAAACTCTGGGAATGAAGTTTCAACACACATGCAGCTAACTAATGGAAGAAATTATCTGTAAGAGACTGGGCTTTTCCTTTGCTGCCTTATCAGTCATATACATTACTTTTACCTATTTTTGAAACATAAATGCTTAACTAAAATGAAACTTTTTAGTGCCCGAGCGTTCGTGACATGAAGAGAACAACACAATTTGAGGAGATGAAAGGAGTAAAACATTTTATAATTTTCATATCATTCCAAAACTAGAAAACCAGTGCCTCTTGATGAATGGCCTGAAAGGTTTTAAATTATACAGGTACAAGTTGTGACTGGAACCGGCAAATACAGACTTGAATGTTACTTTACATTAGTGATTACTAACACTCATTTCTGTCACAAGATGCAGGAAACAAAACAAGACAATAAATTTTAATATAATTTCCAAATTAGAAAACCATTACTCTAAAAGAAATTACCTGTTTCTGGCTACTTGAATCTGAAGAGATTAAGGTAAACACGGAAAATAATACACCACTCCATACCTGATTAGTTTTCTTTATGGCAGATTTTTAACTGCAATAGATGTATATTAACTCACCAGAGAAGTAACATCACAAATAACACGTCTGGAAACTTTGTGCATTCTGAAATAGAGTACACCTTTCCACTGCGGCTTCCTTTTGCCAGTCTCTGAACCTCGGGACACCATGGCTGCCAACAAGCCTATACTTTTCTCTGGGGACAATTCATATTATTTTAATTAGTTTTAGGGTGATCATAGATTCAGCCATAACCTTGATTTTTTTCTTCTCAGTTCCTATTTAAGACACCACCCAAACAACTAAAAAAAGTAACCAACATTATCATGAACTATGGAAGTCAATTTGTGAAATACAGTCTTCAAGAACCCTGAAAAATATTATTTTAAAATCTGGATTAGAAGTTAGAATGCACACATATTTCTCAAATGCATACAGATTTGATATAAGGATAGCTAATGAATCATTCAAAATGTGACAAAATTTAAGTACTTGGGGGACAACACCAAGTCAGAATGACATTCATGATGAAATGAAGAGCAGATTTTAAATTCAGAGGATGCTTGCTATCATTCAGTTCAAAATCTTTTGTCCATCAAAAAAAGCAAAAGATTAAAATATACAGAAGTGTAATTTTGCCCATTGTGCTGTATGGGTATGAAACTTGGTGTCTCACTTTGAGGGAGGAACATAGATCGGACCCAGGTTTATTAGAACTTTGTGACTCAAAATGATCCCGAGAGCATGCATAATCCCGCTGTGGGACAACCTGTATAGTACATTATGGAAAACCTGTTATATTTGTGCATTACAAATGGTCCATGGTACTGGTTTATTTTCCATCTAAGATCTTTAGTAAACAATCGGGCAAGCATATATAAACTTTGGTTTAAAACATACACTTAACAGCAAAAACAACAACATTTCATATAAATTCTTACACAAGGTATATTTTTAAAAATCATCCAGAAATACGTATCTTCAAATATGTCTACTGCAGTCGTTACCAACCACTTGCAATATTTCTGGGCAAGACATCAGTTTTCTGCATACTGATTATTAGAGTTTAGTTATGGTATAATGAAAATAAATTACCTATGATAATGGACAATTATAAATGACCCTACAGAAGCACATGAAGTTGTTACATAAAGATAAGCAAAAGCTACAAGTTTTGAAGGTCCCCGAAAACACCTGATATGCTGGTGGGAATTACTGGCTCAGTATAACAAAATTACAAACATCAGTGTGTGTAGGCTGATTACATGACATAAGCGTTGGTAATTTATGAAAAACCAGGTGTAAAAGGTCCCTTGCACCATGCTCTGATGTGATAAGTACACAAAATTATCTTAAATGTGGAGAAACTATACATCAGCATTGTGAAATATGACAGTGTTTAGAATGTTGTCTAGAAATGCAATGAGACCAGAAATAAATTCAACACAAATTGACATTTCATTGACATTGACATGACTGATTTAAGTTTGTCTCCATATAAAAGTGGGGATCATACAATACACATGAATCAGTGAATCAATTGTACTGCAAAATCAGTTCTACAGCACAGAAAATTCTGTACAGGAAATCCAGAAAACATTTTGCATTTGTACTGAAATTCTGGATACAAAAGAGCACACTCGCAGTAAAGCAGGACTACACAACTGTTTTGAGTATGCTTGAGAGTTTGTTCAAACAACTGAAGAATATAATGAAAATCATTCTGATATTTGATCATTAATCATGACACTTCCACAATCATTCCAGACAGTATGTAGAAAAGTTGTGTTGATGAGCAGCCATTACTCATACACCTAATATGAATAAAGGGAAGTAAATAAAGCATTTCCAATGTTATGGAATGTGAAAATGGATGTGTACAAATGTACACAATTGAAAGAAGAATGTTATGATCTCTTTTCTTGACCCAGTCTTTCTTTCTGGTGGCCCTGATGTCAGTTTATACCAATACTAACCCTTGAAACCCCAGTGGCAGTGACATGTACTACCTGTATTTATGAGTTTCGTATGATTCTCAGAATAAACAATGTTTGTTTCCTTGAGCAGTATCAACCAAATGACCTTTGTCCAATTTCCTCAATTTTCCCTCCATTAAATTTCTTGCCATTTAGTACCTAGCAAAATCACGTTGTTCCGGGTTGTCCCATGGGTCCCTCTCCGTTAAACTTTAATTCTAATGCCCTTTTCGGTATCCTTGCTCTATCCAATCTCTTAAAGAGGGGAATTTAAAAATAATGGCAATCTGTGTGTAAAATCCTAGTAATTTTTCAGACAACTGTCGGGCTGTCGAACCACTTCACAAATAATGGACAGTGTTGAAGAAGTTAATGCACTGGTTCAAGAGGACAGACATATTACTGTCATGATACAGCCACCAAGTTGCACATCAGTTGTGGATCTGCATACTCCATCATCCACAAGGACCTCGGGTATCACGACATTTCTGTAAGGTGAATGCCAAAGCAGCTTACAGATGAGCATGAATGGGCATGTAATTTTTGCAGCAATATTGTGATGAAGAGGCTTTTGTGCAACAGACTGTCACATGCAATGAAACATGGCTGCACCACTAATTACCTGCAAGCAAACATCAAATGCATGGAGAAAAAATGCACATCATTGCCCAGGATCAAGAAACTGAAAAATGTGCCTTCTGCCTGCGAAGTGATGTCGATGCCATTTTGGAATTTTTTGGGGCCCCTTCCTTGAGCACTACCAGAATCATGGACAGATGGTCAATAGTGCATGGTATTGTGCTAAGTTTATAGAGAAGTTGAAACCTGCTATTTATAGAGAATGCAGATGACAGAAGTCGCTGCTCTGCATCGTGACAACACTCGACTTCATACAGCAGCAGCGATCACTGAAACAATTGGAAAACTGAAATTGAAGTTTCTCCCTCACCCAACATAGAGTCCAGATCTCATTCCATCTGATCACAATATTACTGGACTGCCCAAAGAGGCATTATAGGAATGCTGATTTGCAAACAATGAAGAGGTACATACATGGCTTCACATCCAACTGAAAACATTCTTCACAGATAAATAGACCTGAATTTGAGTAGTTAAGTCTCAGAAACTAAACATTTTAAAACAAACTATTTTAAAAAAGTCACATCTCAAATTAATCTGGTCATTCAGCAGCTTTCTTAAATCTCAAGGTTCCGTGTACACAGTGGCCATAATATCCAGCACCGAACTCAACGTTACATAATACTGGTTTTACTGAGAAAAATATTTGAATCACTGAACATGAGAATAAACCAGCCCATCGGTATAAACAAAGCACTACACACTACATGTCATATAGCTGGTCATCATATTCACAACACAAAGCTGAAATACTGATGCAGTATACCAAATAGGTATAATACATATAAGAATTGGTGGAAACATTAAGAATAAAACATAATATCCCTTCTTATTACACCATCTTGTAATAATTATACCTGAAAATATTTGTTAACAACTTCAAATGTACAAATGAAAAAACACTGTTCCAAAGATATCAACATTCAAAAATAGATTAGTGTTAAGAGAAAATAATACTAAAGAGTGTACGTATTTTACATCTGCTGTACAACTTTAAAATACATATATATATGATTCAACATTTGAGCATAATACTTGCATTATACCGAGCTATAGTATAACTGTACAACACTAAACACAGACATATACCTGATTACAGTTGTATTACATGAAGTGACTTGTACATCTGTGCTGTTCAGATTACCTGAAATGAAGAAGTTATGTTTTTACACTTCCATCAAAGACATTTGATGAGGAATGTGTTTCAGGTTAGCAGGAAGTTTCAAAAACCACTGTTATACTCTCACAAATTTGTATACTAAACTTAAAACAACCCAACTCTTTTACGGTGGGTTAAATACTTCTTTTGCAATCGTCTATGCTCTATGTTCAACATGCATGAGTGGGGTTACAATCTGATACTGGGTTTGTTCTTCAGTCAGGAGTGTACTTAGATCAATCTGTGACACTGCTGAGTTTCCACGGTACACAACATACACCAGGGTTAACCCAGAATTAATCTCCTATTCATATTCACAAAGACACTGGAACATTATATTTTATCATCAGGACTAGCAATACTACTTCGATCAATACAAAACTATTTATTTTAATCCGTCTTATCACAATATTTAAAATTTCTTATATTTAAGATAATAAAATATCATTGATGCTCCATATCGATTGATCGATTTACATTTCGGAACATTTACACAACATGTTTCGGTTTTTATAAAACCATCATCAGGTGTAAAATATATCTAAGAACTTAAAACTCAATTATGATTTCTGTAGTATTTTGGTGATGTTTCATTACGTTTGTTTTTCATTTTTGGGCGTAGGTGTTGTTTTTCTTAAATTTTATTAGATGTACATATCGGCCAAAGATGTAGGAGTGATTGTCCCGAGATGTCCAGATTTACACCTGATGATGGTTTTATAAAAAACCGAAACATGTTGTGTAAATGTTCCGAAATGTAAATCGATCAATCGATATGGAGCATCAATGATATTTTATTATCTTAAATATAAGAAATTTTAAATATTGTGATAAGACGGATTAAAATAAATAATTGTTATAATATTCACAATATGACGCAATTACACTATCTTACAATACAAAACTATCAAATAGAATAACATGTTTATGGTCATTAGGATTCATATTCACAATAGAAGATTTAGTAAAGGCAATTTTGTCCCCAAATATATAAAAACTGTCATACTTTTGAAGGATATATTAGGTACCTTCACATTATAATTTTGTCTTGCATTCTGGTGACAGACATGAACAAATACACTCTTTTCTCTTATTTACTTGTTAACCAACCTCCATAGATCAAGCTACATTAAAGACATATTTATCACACTTAAACACAACCTCAGATAACAGAATTATGTGCACAGTACAAACTGTTGTAAAAAATTGGAAAAATAAATATACACACTGCAAAGGCAACAGAATATAACATGTTTTATATGTACAGAGTCACAACAAATGGCAAGAATGCATAAGAGCTGCTGATTGCACTCGTAAGTTCAATATTTAAACATTTATTTAACAACTATCTTTTATATGTGAGTCTGTTCCCACTTGCCATTTATACATCATCGCATTTAAGGTTAAAGCTTAAGCTTATTTCATGAAGGAGATTTTAAACAGGACTTCTTCAAATTTGAACTTACATGACAGATAATGTGCACGCATTTATGGAAACAAATTTATACGATTTTCCATTCTAGGATATTTCTACTTGACAGTCTACGACTTACCAACTGCAGCAAACTGTTTCAAAGGAAGAGAGTCTGGCCAGAAAATGTGCTCGCGTCAGACAGGATAAGGCTTGATACCAGTTCAGCCAGTCGTCTGTCTTCACCAGGAGTCAGACAATGAATAACAACAACTCCCTTCTGCAGCTTCTCATAGTGTTTAGCCATGTTCCGTCCACTTCGATGAAGATCGTACACTGACATGCTCTGCATGCCGTCCGCATTAGTATGTTCTATCACGTGGATTATCAGACCCTATGAATAAAGTGAATGAAGCGTCTGTCATGTACTGGATGCTCAACATTATTGAAACAAAAATAAATCTGACCATGAATATTCCTTAAAGTCTACATCGGCCAGACAGGCCGTTCCGTTGAGGCCAGGATCAAGGAGCACGAATGCCACATCCGGCTCGGGCAGCCCGAGAAATCTGCGGTTGCTGAACACCGCTTCAACATGGAACACAGTATACAGCTCGAGGACACTTCTATCCTCTCCTCAAAAACCGGCTACATGGATCGGATAACCAGGGAAGCCATCGAGATCGAACTACATCCTGATAACTTTAACAGGGAAGATGGACTTCACCTGAGCCGGTCCTGGAAGCCTCTTATTCACACACTTCGAGGACTCCGCGAGCGAGCAAGAGTGCGCCCCCAGAACCAACCAGACCACTAACATAGCCCGTTTCAAGGCCCAGATCCATCCAACCAAACTAAACCTTTCTCCCTCTACTTTCTCTCCCTCTCCCACTCTCGCCCACGTGCTACCATTGGTCCACTCCCATGCCTGCTCCCATTGGCTCGGGGCAGGCTACACCTTTCACTTTCCAGCCTATAAACCTAGCACCTCACACCCTATTGGCATATTCATCGCCCTGATGACGGAGGCAGTATGACCTCTGAAACGTTGGTTAACATCGACCAGACTACACAGCGCAACAACCCAGAAGACGGAAATCTTAATATTCCTTAAGTCTGCTATCAATAAGTCCTTATTCTGGTATATTAACGTTCCCATTTTTTACCTAATTGGATGCTTTGATTCAGTAACAATAGCATACAATTTTAGGCAAACAAATTTAGGAATAACTTAAAATTTTACACACAGAACATGGAAGGGCTTTACAAACCCCACTTCATTTACTGCTTTTGAGTAAACATGCAGAACAGAGATGAATTTAGTACAGGCAAATATGCTGGACTTCTTTTCACTGGATAGTTTACACTAAAAAACCAACTCTGTCTTTGTTGTCAAAGACAGAAAAGATAAAGAAATGGACAGCCCTATGACCATTACAAAGATAAATTGGTTAACCTGACATCGAGGAAACCACAACATTAAATACCTACATCAAAGAAAACACAACATGTCACCACTACATTACATGAAGAAAATGCATTTTCCTTGTGACAGTATTTTATGGTATTCATAGATCAGTGCAAGCTACACAAATTATTTATTATAAATAACTATCACATAATAATGTCCTGCGCCGTAGCCGCACGGTCTGAGGCATCATGCTTCGGACTGGTGATACAGAATGCGTGCTGGTTCGAGCCTCGGGGAAAGAAATTTCTCATGAGATTTTCGACCGGTGTATGGGACCAGTGCCAACCCAGCATCGTGAGGAAATTGGGGACCTACAATGGGTAGCGTAATCCGGTCATGAAAACTAGCAATGGCTGGGGGTTCATCTTGCTGAATACATGTCACCCTATATCTGGTTGGATCATCGTTCACCTCTGCTTAGGCATGTGAATGTGAGGCCAGCAGCCAGCTAGTCGGCTTTGGCTCTCAGAGGGCTGCTACGCCACGGATCGCATAATAATGCTTAATTCTCAAAGTCATCTGCAATCAGCTTGAAAGAATGTTTACATTACTTTTTTCATCATCTCAAACAGGCATTTAGTTCAAAGGAACCTTGTGAATATTACATTACCTTAGCCCATAAAAACAGATTGATTCTGAAATTCGGTCGTCTTACGAAAACATTAAAGATCCTTACCTGGTGATCTACATCCAACATGGCTGCTAAGTCCAAAAGCTGATTGTCTTGATCAATCTCATGCAGGTGGAAGAAAACTACAGTGTTAAAACTTCCTCTAGACGACATTCTGGCTGAATCGACGGACGTTACCACACACTGCACCATCGACACTTTGGATTCAAGGGTTTCTGTCAAGAGTCTCACTGTATCATTTTCTTCGGATGCCATGATACAAACTTGGTTTGTTCTCTCTAAATGAACAAGAAATAAAGTTGTTCACATCATATAAACTATGATTAAATATTTGTATGAAGAACCATATTAAAACTGTGTGTACAATTGTCTGGGTCAATCAATTACACCAACTGTGCCATTTATGTAACAGTTTTGACATGACAGACTACGAATCCAGTAGTTACATCAGAGGATTATAAAGTAACAAACCAAAAAGGATAAGAAGGAACCAGCTTTAGTCTATTTCAAAACACCATCTTGCCATTTACCTAAATGCAATCATCAGAATCATGGAAACAAACTCAGAATAACAGAGTAAGATTCAAACCACAAACCTCCAAAATACAAGTCTGACTTATTAACTGCTCAGACAGGATGAGAAATCTACAATAACAGCGAAACATGTATTATAGCTCTTTTTGCCATTATACCTTGATCTCATTCGCTGTGCATGAAGAAGTGCACTTGACAAAGAGCCTATCAAGAAGATCGATTTCCAGTATCAAAGAGCCATTGAAACTGACGGAACAACTGGCCAAGAATGGAACCAAGGCAATAACACAGATGAAAAGACAGAACTGCACAGGTGAGCTGGAAGTCTTGCGATTGGACACACTGACCAGAGAACCTTAATGGAGACAATGAGACTTCTGGCCACTTAACGGATTAGATGATGAGTGAGGACAATATATGCACAACAAGAAAAAACGAGAAGACACATGAAGATGGTTGTCTTCTGAGATGTTGTTCTGTAGTAGGCTGTTATAAGTTTACTGACACGTCAGAAGTGCTTGTTATTTCCATCATCTGGGTGTCATCCTCCCCTCCAACACCTCTAAAATGTTTGAAAACTTCTAGTACACCACACAACACAACAAATCAGAAGACAACCATCTTCAGACTCACAAGAACGTGAAATCACTGAGAAGACACGTGATCCAACACGTACACTCTGATACTGGAAAAATTCATCACTGTAGCATCAGTGACGTTCAATACAAAAACAATCGGTGACTGACTTCTAAGATTTTTATAATGACATCATGGTACCATAGGACATTCTTGACCCTATCTAACTTCATCTCTTGCAGAATGAGAAGATTCTCTACCATGTTCAATACAGCTTCCCATCAGTCCCTATCCAGAGTTCAATGCCACCACGAAAACTTAATATCATATAAATTAGCACATTGTTGACAAAGACAGTCTGAAACAAGAAACCTGGAATGTAGTTTTGAGTTCATATACATTTATGTTAAGAGAATACAAGTAGTGTAATGTTTAAACATGGATAACTATACTATAAACACTGAAAACTGAATTACAACTAAATAAAACTGGAGGCAGGATCTCATAGCATCAGACAGGAATTAACAGTTATCTGCTAATATAAATTTTAGAGCATTACTAAAAGTCTCCATATTCAACTTCACAATAAAATTTCTGCAACGCACTTGCCTCTCAGACAGCCAACAGCAGCATAAATGTCCTTCTTGTGGGTCACCTTCCAGAGATCAGGGGGCCCTTCAATGAGCCTAGCCCGAACTCCAGTGTGACTGAGAGCTAGCTGCAAGCATTCTGTTCCAGTATCCAGCTCCTCGTCACTGCACTAAACACAGAATGCCATAAACAGCATTACATACTACGGCTTAAAGCCAACTCTCCTACGGTAACTCGGTTGACATGAATTGAATCCAGATCTCTTGAACTCATCAACTCTTCTTTGTTTTGAACACTTATAACCTGTATCTCTTAAAATATAGCAATAAATGAATCAGATTAATAATCTTATTTATTTTTCCTTGTGTGCACCTTGAAATTTCCATAGATCCACAACAGCTGTAAATAGGACCAATGTTGAATTAATATTTTTTACTCAAAATTACTTCCCCTACATATGAGCCTGGTTGTGAAACACCCTGTAATCAGCACTGCCTATACAACCTCTATTATAGTTTTAATTTATATCAGTATTCCAGCATCTATAAAAATTCTGTATAATATTCCTCCTCCAAATGAATCATAGTTTATATCTGATGTGTATAAACAGCGTATGTACCGAGCTTCTCTTCTGCTCTTCTTACTGTGATCCATGCATGATAGAGAAGATTTTATCAGACTTTAATGCTAACCACCCACATGGAACAGAGTTCTTCCCAGAAGTTAACACTCACAGCCGCTCAGCCAAGTCAACACCAAATGTGATATGTTCACACATCTCTAATTACCACCTATATTTTAAGCTCACTTTCATGAGTATAATTCGGTAGTGTAAAATCTTTCTTCAAAATATGAAAGTTGCTGAGCAAGTTAAGAAACTTGCTGGTTTTATGGAATCCATAGATACATTATAAATGTTCATCAAATTTACATTGCTGCATTTTGTTTGTATCAATATTGAAATATATTAATTTATAATAGAAAATAAAACAATTGTGTGATTGCTAAAATAAATATAACACGTTCATCAATCCTCATTATTTGTTCGTAGTCTAAACCTGTTAAATGTGGTCCACACCTTCACACCCTATTCTACAAGATCCATTTTAATATTACCCTCCATGACACTGAGTAACAGGAAATAAACCTTGTTGTAAGCAGATGCCAGAATGTCAAACTGGAAAGCCTGTGGTGTTTCACTGGATACATGTTTGCACCTATCCAAACTGTGGTCGAGGAATCCATCTGAATTGGCTTGAAGAACTGTGGAGATCAGAGGCCTAACAGCACCAGCTGCACCATGTTCTTCCGCTGCAATCACCAATTCCTCAACCAACTCTGATGGTACTAGGGGTCGTGCAGCATCATGAACAATCAACACTTTCAAGTTGCTCTCTACAACAGGACAGTATACTGGTATTACAATACCATATAATAAAACAAATCTTACAAATATGAAAAATTTCAAAATATGGTTGCCCACTCCCCTCATGTGAGTTGATTTTGCAAACTAAATAAGCTTTCTCACCACAAGCAGAAATTCTTAAGTCACTTACATTGATGAATTTTGTTTCACTTGTTCTAATTTATTTTTAAACTGGTGTTAACACACTGACACAACATTTCCAACAATTCTCTCTTAAGTCAACCACAAGCAATGGTTTAAATTTTAATGTGTATACAAATGATCAGATTATAGTACTTCAAAAAACAAATTATGCAATTTAAATTTTGATGCCGCATTCTTATTGACTATTCTCATATCCACAGACTGGAAGTTAATAAGAGTCTATAAAAATGACAACAAAGAAAACAACAACAGTAATTTAATATTTTGTTTCCTTTCAAAGATTCTGGGGTGGCAAATGAATTTGCTGTTTCTCAAATAGTCTGAAGCCAAAGCATTCACACCCTACAAATATCAATAGAAGTAAACGGCTGGTAACCACATTTTCAAACTCTAACTTTCCAATACATTGTAAGTTCAAACTTCAAACCTTTTAAATGAAGTGTCATTTATGTACATAAAAATTTAAATGTTATTTTATTGCAATTTGAATCTGTTCACATATACATTTATGTTCATCAGCTTACCATTTTTTTGAAGTGCTTGCACCCCAGCTCGGATCGATCGGTGACGTGTATTTTCTCCCTGAACAACGGACACTTTTTCCCTATTAGCATGCGATTCTTCAAGTAAACCTTGCACATGCTCTGGGTTGTCAACAACAAGTACAATCTTCTTCACCCAGTGAATACGATTAAATTCTTCTACTGCATATAAAAAGAGTGGTTTCCCCTGCGAAATGAACCATTTTTATAAATCGTACTACATCTGGGCACTCGTAAAACACAATGACAGAACTCTACAAATGTAGGCTATATTCCAAGATCTTACCAACACTTCATAATACTGTTTAGGAACAGGAACTCCAAATCTCTCACTAAAACCTGCTGAAGGCAATATAACGCCAACACTAAAATTAATCATCTGTTAAAACGACACACTGATAAGTAAATTTATAGCAACTCTGATATTTATATTGCTTAAAAATGTTGTACTACAAACAACATAATACCATGAGTACCGCCATCAATCTCACACATCAAAGACGATTCACTATCGATTTGCTTTTACACATGGTTCTTTACATGAGGTGACAGTTGAATACCCTTCGATGATGTCATCTATAGGATCTACAATCTATGACAAAGTTGGATCAAACTATTCAATAATTAAATAATTAATTACTGTCTTATTTTACTAGAAGTATTCTGTTGTATGGATTCGCATTTTTATGTATTTATTTTGCCAATAACCATGTATGAACATCGGTAGATGATAGCAGCAGCTATGGTAAAGAAACCTTCGAATTACAAACATACCTCCAAAAGAACATCAAAGTGCCTCCTTTGAACGTCCTGACTCAAGTGTTCCATTTCCAAATGCCTGTTCTTAAATTAATTCGTACGTAAATGTTAGGGTTTATGAGATTACCATGCAAAATGTGTGTCCTATTTCAAATTTTGAATGTTAACCGACTTTATAAACATTTGATTTTAATACTAAGTCGTTGTTGGATACATTAACCTAGATCTTTCTAGTTGTAAAATATCTGCGAACATCAACTTTCATTATTCTTTCACTTCCAATGTTTCTTGATAAACAATCCATCCTGCACTAAAGACTGGGTCCAGATCTCAATTTTGATGGTGGTTTACGTATATTGTAATCGAAATTATTGTTCTCGTACAGTCGTCGTTACCGAGAAATAAAATATAAGGGAAATTACAAATGGGATATTCATGTCGATTGCGGTCTCGGTTGTGAAACCGTGTAGTCTTGTGGTCAACAATGTTTCGGAAGAACGTATCGCCTCCATCTTCAAGATATGATAATTATAAGTCTATACTGTCAAACCTAGAAGACCAGTATCAACATCGCTGTTGTGGGGATATTTCATATTTGCATTGATTTGTTGGTTACCTACTTCGTAGATGGTTGTCATGGTAACCGAACAGCTGTGTGATTTTGGGCTTTGATTTATGTCAATATATTTTTCATGTTAGAAAACGATCGTTTATTTTGATATTGTACTTTAATGAAGAAATGGCAGATAAAAGGGAATTTAAGAATCCGTACGATGATTTTGTGCCGAATAAAGAGAACAGTGGTTTCAATTTGGAAGATGGGAAGGTTTGTGCATAAAGATGAATTTAATTTAATATTCTTCCACTAGCCAGTGAGCTTTTGCTTTCATTATTATAATTTGTAGCGGACAACATAGAAATATTCCAAACAAACTCAAATATTCACAATATAAGTACAAGATACTGATATATCCTTAATGTGCCAAACACTAACCTCACTAAATATTGAAAGGAATTTACTGTACTGGAATTAAACTATTCAGTAATCTTCCCCCTCTCTTCCTATAAAAAGTGTAAATTATGATATAAATAAGTTTAAGCCAGCACTAAAAGAATGAATTATGCGACTCAAACTCAAGACACACTCACGAAATTCAAAATATTTATGAGCCACGATTAAAAAATCTGCAACATTGACATTTACAAAACATGTCACTTAATTTTTACTATTGAATAATGTCATCTAAAAGAGTTTGTAAATTGAAGTGTTATTCACTGAACTTCATACTTGAGCATTCTTTTTTGTTCATTGATTGCTTTTATATGAACTTTCATTCCTTAACATCAGATTGTTTTAAAATATAAAGTCTGAATTCAGGACCCATAATCCTAATATACTCAATAACTGTACTTTCCTTATCATTTATTATTTAAAAATATATATACATATGATAAGCCTCGGTGGTCTAGCGGTTAGAACGCTGGCCTTGTAATCCTGGGGTCTCGGGTTCGATTCCCGGCAGTGCCCGAATTTATAACTTGTGTTGGGCAAGGCCGTGGTCTAGGCAACACGGAGTTTTCCTCCGTGGCATCCCAACAATTACTCCATTCACACACAGAAGAAGGCAATGGCAAACCACTTCTGGATCATCTGCCAAGAACGTATATGAACAGGTCCCAGTCCGAGAAAAGGATGGAAGGATCCTGTTCATATGGACCTGTCGTCAGACAGAACACTAAATAAATAATAATAATAAAATAATACATATGATAGCTGTTCTATGTTCATTTATATCATCTCTATGTCTGAAAGAAACCTTCAAAACAGACTGTGTTTTTACTGTCTCAGATGTCATGGTGCTGTTGTACGTGTCACATGTACATTAAATATAAGGAATTGTTAGCACTATTTCTGTGATGTGACACCATTTGCAGAAGAAGCAAACTTTCATTTCAGAAAGAACAGAAAAGCTAAAGTGCACATAATGGTTCAGATCTAACAAAGGTAATTTAACCTGTAAGGTGCACTTTTGTAGGATCAGAAGACACCTGTATGCAAGAAGAATATATTGATATGAAGAAGTTCCTAGGTTTATGTATTGTTCAGTTATGTGTTATTTCCACAGATACTTCAAGATTTTCAAGAGAAATTGCTGTCTGCTATAAATAAATTGTTAACTGAACTTCATGCAGGACTTCATGAGAGTGATAGTCACGATTATTCAGTCTACACTGGAACATCTGGAATAGCCCTGTTGTACATCTTGATGAGTCAGAGGCTTGACAACTCATATGAAGAAGTAAGACCATAAGATGTAGTATACAGCTAAAAAGAATGATTAGGAAACATTGGTTACATAGGTTACTGTTGTGTTCCAGAGAGCTCTGAAAATGACAGAGAGAGTGCTTTCAAAGCTCAAAAATCACCGTGTAAGCTTTCTGAATGGGGATGCAGGTCCACTGGCCATTGGTGCTCTGCTGTATCACAGACAGGGTGTGGAGCCTATGTGTCAAGAGTGCATTGACAGGTATAATGGGACCTGATGTATATTTTTTAACCATCATTTAGTGTGTCAGGTGACATTTTCCTAGATATGTGGTGCAAGTATATTGACATCCCTAGAACCTGTACCAGCCCCTGACCTCACAATATTTAATCCAAAGTGTTATAAAGACTTTGGTATAATATTTAATTTCATTTTCATGTTGTTAGGCTGAAGAAGATGTTACCGCAGGTATTGAATCTGAGCTCAGATCTACCTGATGAGATATTATATGGACGAACAGGATACTTATTTGCTCTTTTGTACCTACACAAACATCTTGGACAAGACATAATTGACTCCAAAATCATTCAACAGGTGGGTGTCACTTTAACCTATCATCACCCATCTTTGATACAATAGTAAATAATGACAGAAAATACTTTTTTTCCTACACTTGGCACATACCTAGAACATAGATTAAATTAGATCAGTAACTGAAGGCAAGTGAGAGTCCATCAAATTGTGGATGCTCCATTTAATTAATGAAACACAGCAGCATAACAAATGACACAGAGGTTCGTTGTTGTGTTAATGCTTAAAATTAGAAACGTGTTGACATTAATCCTTCACAACTTTACTATAAATACGGCTTTCCACTTCTGTCTAGCCACTAAACTTGGAAAGTTAGAAAGGATTCACAGAAGAATGCAAAAAGTGGTATCTGCTTTTCTTCAGTCAGGTCAGGCACTCATATTTATGTGCCAAAGGGAGTATTACATTGGTGCTACTCATGGCCTGGCAGGAATCCTCTGCTTGTTACTGCAGAGTGATACTATCACTGTCACTTCTCAACATACTTTCCCCCTTACAAGTGTTCTTTAATGTTTAATGTAATTGTCTTAGGTGGTATCTGCAGTTCTCAGCTCAGGCAAAAAACTTGCCCAACAGGAGGGCAGAAATGTACCCTTGATGTATATGTGGCATGGAAAATATTATCTGGGAGCGGCACACGGCATATCAGGAATACTCTACATGTTGCTTCAGGTACAGCATTTTAAAACAAAAGCTTCTTCACAGGTCCTTGTAAAGCAAAGAAAAGTACACTTGTATCGCCTGTCATGTAATGATGCCTCAAACATTTTATTCAGAAAATTTATGTAAATTCATAAATTTCTTTAATCCTAAAGTTTTCATCCTCCTCTTCCTTCTACAACTTTCTACTTCATGTGGTCTTCTGGCAGCCAAACCTCTCCATCTGTCTCTGTTTTCCCATAATTCCTCCTCCTCAACTTCTGTCTCAAAATTCTCAAAAACATCTCCATACATTATTATTCTTCTGTTTGTTAATTTGACTTCCTAAGTGTTTATTTGCAAATTCTATTATTTTTTAATCTTATAGTCTTTTAATTTTTCCTTTTATACTCCTTCAAAGTATTATCTGTGATGCTGTTTGTCTACTAACATCATGGTCCATGTCCAAGTTTCTGCTCCATTTGTTCACATGGGCATGTAGTTATTTATTTAGTGTTCTGTCTGACGACAGCTCCATATGAACAGGATCCTTCCATCCTTTTCTCGGACTGGGACCTGTTCATATACGTTCTTGGCAGATGATCCAGAAGTGGTTTGCCATTGCCTTCTTCTGTGTGTGAATGGAGTAATTGTTGGGATGCCACGGAGAAACCCCCGGAGGAAAACTCCGTGTTGCCTAGACCACGGCCTTGCCCAACACAAGTTATAAATTCGGGCACCGCCGGGAATCGAACCCGAGACCCCAGGATTACAAGACCAGTGTCCTAACCGCTAGACCACCGTGGCTTGTTGGGCATGTAGTAAATAGTCATATTTTCCACTGCTTAGGCATAGCCACAATTCCAGTCTCTAAAAATAATCAATTTTCATTGCAATATAAATGTTAGCATTGATCACTATGATGTTTCATGCTTGATAAACAGACTTGTTACTCAGTACGGTGTCTACAGCCAACTTCACTCTCCATCATATGTAGCGCTCAGTTTCCCTATTTTCATTTTCACACATCCAACAGTGTTTCTTTCCTAATACCTCTGCATGTGTAGTGTTACATGATGCCAAAATAGTAATTATTACTTAGGCGTAACTAATGTTTAGAGACACTTCATTTGTATGGTCTTTCACTTCCAATGGTGTTAATTCTATGAAGTCAATTCTTATATTTGTGTTATGTCACATTTCCTTTATAAGGGGTAATGAAAGTAATTCATGGCTTATTCATTCAGACAGAAGTCTTAAATTTTGCTTTACTCACAATGTATTTCTTTTTAGAGATTATTATTGTTCTACTCACCAAACATAAACTGTTCCCTTTGCTGTTAAATATTCCAACAAATTCAGTCTAGTTCATTTAAAACAGATGTAAACAATTTCAGTTTTTCTGTTTACTGTAGTGGTGTGCTCCTGAACATAGTTTGTGCTGGTTTAGTATAGTATGCAAATGGACAAGTGCGTAGTAGCTAATAGTTATTTTAAGCACACCTAACTCTCTTCAAAATAAAAATCCTGAAAACTATAAATTGGATTTTAAGTCAAACTGCTTATGTTACAGGCATCAAACATCTTCAGTTTTTGTGGAAGGGACAATGTTTCTGCAATAAATTGTGCAAGTTATGTATTTCCATATCTTCATATTAGAATAAATATACCACCTCTTTCAAAACATGTTTGCATTTTGGCTATATGCTTCACTTGTGGTTTGTGGTGTGCCTGCATTATTCTTCTATATGTTGCAGTATTGCTGTTGTACTGATAGTCTTTCCAAGGTATCTAATAACCAATGGATTACTGTTGTTACCCTGAATGCCTCAGGTTTGAGGGACATATGAAATTTCCTCAGATAAGTGGGTGATTCCTCTAAAGTTGTAATGTCTGGTTATCTGTGATATTTACTCTGTGCAGGCTAAGGACTACATGTCTGAATCTGATCTCAATAATTTGGTTCGCCCAACAATTGACTATCTGCAAGGGTTATGCTTCCCTTCCGGTAACTTTCCTTCATCCCTCGGCAACAACACGGACAGACTGGTACAGTGGTGTCATGGAGCTCCTGGGATTGTGTTTCTGTTTGCCCAAGCATATAAGGTACAGCAGGAACTATATACTGTTTCATACACAACCAATCAAGAGGGCATGAGGTCATGATAATTCATTTGTGGAAGTTTAACTTGATTTAACTGGTTTTGGTTGCCCTTGTAGACTTGCCACCCACAGATGCAGGTCTAATAGTGTGGAAGCCTCTGACTTATTTTGTGTGCATGCATATTACAAATCACAGATACATAAAACCAAACACCATATTTGGTTAAAACTGGATAAAAATGAAAATCCACAACTGGAAAATGGATTACTGTATTCTTTATGTCCTTTTCTACCAAACTTTTACTTCTGTGCTAAAGCCTTTTCCCAGCAGATTCTATTATATTGTGTATTGTATTGTAATGTATCATGGAAAGTTGCTTTGCACCCTCTAAAGTAGATTTCAAATCATCTGTTTGTTTGCAGCAAGGATTGGTAGACAGAGCAAGTAGCAGTCTGTATGGTCATTATTTTTGAATATGTAATATATTAAAGTCAGACTCATTTATTGATATACAAAGTTACATTTTATTTCTTCCAATAGGTGTTTGGTGATGATCAGTATCTCCAAACAGCATTGAAATGTGGGGATGTGGTGTGGAGGAGAGGTATGCTCTCAAAGGGTTACAGCATTTGTCATGGAGTAGCTGGAAATGGGTACACATTCCTCGTTCTATATCACTTAACTGGGGTAAGACACGATACCTTCGATGACTCATTTTTGGCATGTCTGCATCCCTGCAGAATGCCTATTAAGTTCGCTGTTTCTGTCCATCTGCACGTAACAACTCATAAATGGATGAACATATTTTAATGACATTTGGATGGAGGTTATGCTATTTGAGGCTGGTCAGAATTTGTATTTCTTAATTTCTTACAAATATGAATACCAATGTCACAGAAGCTCAAGCGTTTGAGCAGATGATCCTCCATGATGACATCATTACCCATGATACTCTATGAAGACCTGTGACAGTGTGTCATGGTGAAATCATTGTCAGTGTCTGCCCATACACTTATAATACTCAAGAACAGCTGAATGGATTTTCATTAAATCTGGCGGGGGCATTTTACTATTGAAGGCTGTTCCAAAATTATGTTCTAATTTCCTATAATTGGTAACACTAATGTAATAGATGTTCAACCTTGTGTGGTAATGATGTCACAGATGATTACAATTATTAAAGAATAAGAATAACAAATTTATTTAATATGTTTTATTCTTCTATGGCTACTAAGCTGCAAGCAGTATTTACTCAGTATTTTATCTGGTGAACACACCACCATTTTAACACTAAGCATACATTTGCTAACTTTTAAAGTTCCTCCTACCTTGTACCTAAACATGGTATCCTCACAGAAAGTAAATTCTGGTACATTACTTTGATTACATGACATTCAATAACTTACGAAGCATTAGCATCAGAAATTTTTTGTTTCAAGCAATTTTCACATGTAAGGTTCCAAAATATTTTATTTTGTCATTGTAGGTAATATGTAAATATCAAGTTACACTTATATTTTCAGGACCTCAAACATCTTCATCGAGCCTGCAAATTTGCAGAATGGTGTATGTCTTATGGGAAACAACAATATCATACTCCTGATAGACCCTTGTCACTGTTTGAAGGTATGGAAAATTAATTCGTCCTGTCATCTGCTTATTATTAACTAACCAAATCAATTACATTTTGCTAGTTTTAGTAAAATTGAAACGCACCAGCATGGAATTCCACACAGTGCATGTTGTGCCATTTCCATCTACTGCTGTGTTGTAATGTACACTGCATACAGACAACTCCGACTTTGTGCTTGCATCGCACGACTAGTTTTCGAACTACATAATTCTACATGCATAGCCTTTGAGATGAAGGCAAAGAAATAAAATAATGTATAATTAATTTATAGGGTGCATATATATATATTTATCATACTCCATGGCTTCCTTTCAGGAATTGATCCTTTATACATTATGAGACATGCCTGTATAAGATTAAAATAAATGTTCTTCTCACCAGATATTTTATGTGAAAGTAATTGTATGAAGTTCTTCTTCAACAGGTATTTCTGGTGTAATTCATTTCCTGGTGGATGTTCAAGAACCCAAGCTGGCCAATTTTCCTGCATTTACGTTGTAACACATTTGTTGTCTGTATTTTAATTAAAGGCGTTCAAAATTGTCCTGCAGTTAATTTCCAGAATGCATTGTTTTGACTGCTTGTCCTGAATATAAGATTAGTTGTAATGAACATATTTAATATTAACTGTTTAGTATCTGTCACTCTCTATGGAACATTACAAGAATCATTTAGGATAGGATTCCAAAGTGTCTAGCTTTAGTAACGCAGTTTCCAACATGGTTAAAACCTGTTTTTAAATTGAGAAGTGTACAATTACACAATGATCAGCTGTAGGTGGTACAACACTGCAGTGCTGTACAACATAGACCACTGCAGTTTCTTTATCCTGGTCCCAGATTGTATTTTCATAATTGTATTCACAAGTCTGTTGTATATCAAGTAATTCAAGTTAAAAATAAATGATTAATAAATATAACCACAAATTATTATTCTAACAGCATACCAGGGAAGATGGAAAACATCTGTAGGTTACCATTAAGCTTAATATAAAAGAAATTATTTTAGGCAATACATCCTTAGCCATTCTTGTTGGTGAAAATAATTAGTATGTGGGCTTATTGCCAACATAACTGGCTGGTTATTTACAACTGTTAAAATGTTGAAAAACAAAACTTAATATTAACCTAACCTATATCCTGATCATACCACCAGATGACAAACCTAATTAAAAACTGAATTTATACTCCGTTAAATCAATAGCAGTAATAATAACTTGATGAATTCATACCCACTAATATTCATAATAATTAAGTTTCCTGTGGTTGGCTGTTTGCCAGCAGAGCATGTAGATAACTAGCTAACAACAAAAGTCATTCTAAGTGTGACTTTCTTGACAGTTAAATTAAATATGTTAAACATACTGTAGCTGACATTTAAAATTTACTTACCTGCACTGGATTTTTGTGACTTTCCACATTAAACAATTCAAATCAAAACTTAACTTGCTTCCTCAATGTTTCACAGGCACATACTGCACTTTAGCCCTGAACCTGGAGGCTTATGTTCCTCTGAAATGTTGGCATTAATGCCCAGGCCAACATCAACATGGATGATTGCACTGCCATGACTTGGTCTCTATAGCCTATCTGAAAAGAAAACACCACTTTTAAGTTCTGTACCATATTCCTTGTACACCAGACAACTGAGTTAGCTCATACTCACCCAATATTACAGCACAAAGAACAGAGACATCCACAAAACATAAATGTTCCATTCTGAAATGGTGAAAAGGTTAAAGAGTTTGTATCCAGGTTTCACTGAATAATGCTGGCATTTATCAAATGTAAACATATAACCTCATTTTGTGAACTGCATGTACTTTCCAAAGATTATATTCTCTTTTTAACATCTACATTATAGATTTATATTTACAAAACATGTGCTATTTATAAAATGATGGTGGCATGGCAATTGTTTACAAAAGAAGGCAACAGTTTGCAGCAAGGTATACTTAACCTTGACTTTTTCTTACAAGGAAGAGACCACCCATTTTGATATGTAAAAATACAAGTATTTACAAACAATCACTTGATTTTTTTTCCCCCTTTAAGCTAATGTCATTTAACTCTCAAGTGTACAGTTGTAAGGTATGAACAATATCACTAAATAAATTTAATAATAAGCTAACTTGTATTTTATCATCCTATTGTGAATAACTTTCATTGAGGTAAGGAATATTATTTATATTTAATCAGTCAACACAAACAATATTTTCATATTAAAACTTACAGGGCTGCACATTTCAAGTCACTGGTCATCATCAATCTCTTATTTGTCCACAGTGATTTTTGTAGGTGTTCTTCACGCTCCAGCACAAGCAAAGAACATCTTCTGAACCCAAATATGTCTGCCTGTAACTTTTTACCTAAGAACTAGGCAACCCACATTATCACGACATAAAGTACACCTTTCAAATTTCAATGCAGTCCAAAGTACATCTTTCAGTCTTGTATTATTTTTAAATTGCCATATCCTAGACACTTTATGCACCATCTGCCCATGTATTACTACAGTACATGTACATGTAATGCCCATAAACAGCTGGTCATACAGCAGTCAGTACACAAAGTACAGTACAACTCGCACATTTAGCATGAACATACATCAACAAATATAATCAATAACACTGAAGTGTAAGAATATTTTACAAATTAGTAATATCAATACAGGTAGATAGAAATATAATTAAATGAACATATACTACAGGAAAATGGAAGAGAAGTGAAGATACAGAAAACAGATAGCCTACTAGATAGAGATTATATATTACAAATGAAATAATGAAGCATCAATGACTATCAGAACCAAAACATCGATATAGATTACATTAATTATTCTATCTTATGAAAACCTGTGGTGTAAGTAGGGTTTTAATGTTAAGATAATATTTAATATCATTCTAAAGGATATTGACAATGCTGTATTGTGATATTTTCAGCTAACATTTTGGACATTATCCATCATCTGTTTCTCATAACACAGTGTTTCGAAGCCAGTGATGGAGAACAGCTCCTTCTAAGGGACCCCATAGAATCGGAACCCTTTTGTCCCCCTTATTTTACCAGATGACACAGACAGATCCAGTTCCTGAAACATCATGTTATGAGAAACAATGGGTGTGTCAAATTTTTTTAGCCAGAACGATTATATTTCATTTTTCAATTTTGTAGAAAATGTCTGCTAAATGTATGCACAGGTTTTGTAAATATTACAAAGACAAACACAGGACTGAGAAATGTTTAGGTTCTTGGGAATGACTGATAAGTTGAAACACATAGTTATGTATTTTTAACATTAGAATATAGTTTATGTCGACTGATTTAAAAAAATATATATATGTACATTCCTTATATGAATAATAATAATAACAACAACAACTCTCCTTCAGCATTTCACTTGTCATAATCTGACTTTCAAACATTTGTTGCTCCCTTGCAGACAGACATCCCAGTGCAGTACAGGGTTTCTCTATAATTATCAACTGAGACACAGAGCTTAAAGCATAGAAGTGGAAGGGGGAACATTTTTCATAAAACCAGGTGACATGGTCCCCTGACTATCCCTGAACTTTCAGCGAGTTTTAGAATGTGAAATGTCTCTCTTCATTTTGGGCATTGAACAATGCCAAATATAACGTTTAAAAAAAAAAAAAAAAAAAAAACCCAAATTCCCAAGTGAGAGATGGCACACAGATATACCTCTGCGATGCTCTAGTTCAGTGGTATTCAACCTGGGGTACGCGAACACATCTCAGGGGTACGTGAAATTTAATATACATATATATATTATTTTATGATAACACTTAATAATCAGTAACGTAATTTATTTAATTTATTTTAGACGTAGATTATATACTTTGTATAACCTGAATTATACACAAACAACTTTGGTGGTACAAAGTTGAAGAGAAATTATATCTGGGGGTACACGAACAAAAAAGGTTAAATACCACTGCTCCAGTTCATTTATAGTAGAAAGGGACAAATCTTTTTATGCACATGATAAAATATGTTATCCCAACAACTATTACAAATATTTGCCTTAGCAAATAGTAAAAACCAAAGAATCCTAATATTGTTGTACAACACAATGTACAATGGCATCTAAACAATAAAAACAATTTGAAAATCATACCAGTGCTGGTACATTATCTCCATTTTATGCTTATGTGCAAAATCGATTATGACCATAAAATTACTGATAGGTGTTTGGAAATATCTAATAGTACATACACAATAAACAGGTTTGAAAACAAATTAAACGTGAAGATTATGTACAGTATGATATATGGCCACCCAACAATACAGCCAATGATACTGTACTTATGACACGAGTTTCGATAATTATAATCACCAGCCTTCACTGCAACGTGAACTGCCAGGCAGAAGCAGATGTGTTTGCCGTATATAAAACACTGTTTTGTAAGTAAACATAAAATATCTGCCCTAACCCCTCACACTTTAAGCACTGATTTCTAACAGTTTTGTACTCAACATACTTCTCAGATACAGGGTACAATATCACACAACAAAGGAAAAATATAGACTTCAAAAATGTATCAACTTCTAAAAGCAAAACATTTAACAAAGGACATGGGTTAACATAGTATCCTCATTATTCAAATCAACATTTTCCCACGAAAACTATCAAATAAAAGAAATATACCAAAAAAAAAGAGCTGTTTAAATGTTTTAAAAACCAGAACTCAAGATTGTGGTTCCTGTATCCTGATACAACAAAGAATGAAAGTGACAGCATGAAAATTGGTTATGGCACATAATTACTTTCCTAGCCCCTGAGTATGTACCAAAGCAAGATCCTAAACTATAAACCAGTCTTGGTGGCACAATGCAAGTACAATGAAGTATATGGGGGTGAAGAGGGGAGAGGAGGCGTCATCTATCACTTTCCAAGCCTGGAACAAGTCTTACAGCTTCATTCAGGTCGTCTGATATACCTATAACGTAACTTTGGCATTACACCTCTCACAAGCCTTCATACACACAACAGTCAATGCGAGTTTTCTTCCTTCCTACAAACACACTTCCATATATTATTCATTGTTGACATTAGTTATACTTAAATACAAAATTTACAGATACTGTCAACAATGCTTCTGTCATACCTTAAGAAAACAGCTCTTTTTAGATAGTTTTTTAACATAAAAAAGCAGGAAAAACTCACTCACAGTGTAAGGTACTTTCTTTGCCCACGCATTCCATCCTAATGCATACCGATTTAGAATGGCTAACAACCGAACCATGCTGTCAGATACTGCAGTTTCCTACAGCGACTTAAAGTAAAGACTCGGGACGGCACTCAAGGCCAATCACAGCTATGCACCTCAAAAAACCAGATGACCAATAACGTGGTAACTTATTTTTGGTCACAATACATAATTAACATTGTGTTAATTACAGCGTTAATTTCCATTGCACATGTGACGCAAACACAAAACACAGTAACCAGCCCGTCACAGGTGGCAGTAACAGGTGAACAAGTAGTTTCCCAGGATGAGGTTCACTAGTATCAACCTCAATCTGTTTTTTGCTGACAATATAATTCTTTTAAAGACTTGAGCTCCTCTATAAGAGCCTTGTTCTGGTTTTCTAACACAGCCACACGGTTCTCTAGACACTTGATGTATTCCTTCTTCTTTCTCCGACACTCTCTAGCAGCTTCCCTGTTGGAAACATTACAAAACAACATAACACATGGAGACATTCTTCTACATGTAAAAAAGTAAGGTTGAAACCAAATTCTGGGGTACTGACGCACCATCATTCAGAAGCTTCGTTCAAACAACAAGCATACACAATTATTTTAGCTACAAAGTAAGATGTGCTTAAATTTTCTCCTTGCAATTGTTTGTCTACAGATACATAAAAACTTCATTTTCAACTGGCCTCTACCATTCCTCTTTTCTACCAATAGCAGTATAAAATACGAAACCTCAATTCTTGGACTGTGAATCCAATTTCAGAAGACAACCACACACTATATGATGATGATGATGATGAATTACCAACACCCACAAACATGACTAGCTATATAATTGACCTCAAAACTATGATCAAAGAATATTATTTTCGGACCTCCCAGAAACAGGTTTTAGAAATATGCTGAAGCATGTGGAATGCACATTACGCTCACCTATTCTTGAGCAGCCGCATCTCTCTCTTTCTCGCCTGGTCTTCAGCTATGATCGGACCTCCAGCAATACCTCCCCCTTGTGTTACCACTATAATACACAAAGCATTTCTTTTACAAATACTGAAAATGCTTGAGGAGCTGTCCATCAGAGATTTCCAATCTTCCTGTTTCTGAACAGTAAACAAATTGATTAAAAATGTAATTGTAATTTATTTATTTATTTGTATAGGGTCTGCATTGAGTAAGATGACAAGAAATAAGTACAGTATTTTATAAACGCTACAATTTTTCTACTTGTGCTTGCTTTCTGTAATCATGGAGATATATTCGTTTGTTGCTTCCTTGATTTGCCATTTGTAAGAGATTACTGAATGAGTTCAAAATTCCACTGATGGAGAACAGCGTTAACTAAGAGGCCCCTCAGAGGAAGTACCTTCATACCTGAAGACAAAGCAAACTTTATACATTTTTAAACTGCTGATATTTAAAATAATTAAAAATGGATAATACCAAAACAAAATACAGTAAAACACAAGACCTCTTGTGGGCTTTTTCATGTGATAAACTAGGTTTCACACACATATCTGAGAACTGATAATACCCAGAACACTAGTGGACTGTTGCTGTCTGTCTCACTTAGCTGCCTCTTTTCTACTATTGATTAAGGGCTGGTAGGCAAGGTAAATGTCTTGAAACTCTTTAAACTTTCTGAAGTACAAACACCAGTTACACGAGTTTATGGGAGCCAATGAAGTCATAGTTGTCAGCACCATCCCAATTCCAAAAGCAAGGGCATAAGAGCACAATTTCTTTCATACCGCATTATCCACTGTGACAACTCATTTACGTACCAGGCACAAAGAACTGACCATCTTGACCTTGAGCGTACTGTACAATCGCTCCACCTGCCGTCGTTGCATTCGTCATTGTTAGCGTGTGCAGTCCCTGCACAGTCTCGCCCTGACTTGCAATCTGAATCGCTCCTGCCGGTATCACTGCCAATATAAATAATAAATACAAAATACAATATCCACTTCAACTGTACATAATTTTCACTTGCCTGTTCATCATGCAATCAAGATACTCATCACCGTGATGATGGAGGCAGAAAGCACCTCTGAAATACCGGTAGACTTCTAACAGACTACACAGTGCAACAACCCAGAAGACAGTCATCTTTATACATGCAGTGGTCTAATTTTGACATTTTATTCATAAGCTCATATATAAAATGAAAATAAAATTCAAAATTTAATGCTCTTCATCCCTGGACAGCTGTAATCTGCAGTGGCCATCATTTTATTATATCAAATGACTGGTTACAACAGCATACTCTATACAGAGAATGCTCTTTCAACTAAAGAAACAGCGTATACTAGAGCCAAGGAATGTCAGGACACACACACACTATGGAAACACATTGGTTGCATTCTTCATAAAAAGAAACTCCTTGTATTTAACAATGTGGCAGCTGGTAGTGCACATAATTAAAAGCAATATAATCAAGCCGACAACAATAACAAAACACAGTTAACTGTTAAGTTGCCTTTTTCTGTGGTTCAATCTCCAAGCTGAAAAATCATGTACTTAAAATCTCTTGTTTCTTAGAGAACTAGTTTCTGGATACTATGGAAAGGACAGTAAAATGGCTCTAACATGAACCAAATGAGAACTATAAATTTATGTATTTATTCATTAATTTATTAATGGACTGTCTCTTCATTAAAGTGAAGTAATTCTGCCACACAGCATCTGGTATTCCAACTCATGTCATGCAAATTCATGTTCAAAATATAACCATTAAATTGCAAGATAGATGTACATCCATTGAACATTTCCAGACCACATCATAATATGAAGAGACCTGTCAAAGACACATTGAAAAGAAACAAAACTGACTTGAGGAAGGCTACCTGTTTTTCTTTCATGAATATAGATTAATCATGTTGTCATCCACTCATGCACTAAAAATCATTCACATTTCTCTGATACCAGGGTCTTCTAGTAAGCTAAGAAAAGTTTCAGTGTGTATGTAATATTATAGTAATCAATAATCAAATAACTTTTACTTAATTTCATGTCCATTTTTTACTTCAATCTAAAAATACATTATCCTCAGGTACCACATTTGTAACTATGCATATGTAAGTAGTACACGGTACAATCTGTGGCTGACAATTCTTGTCATATTTTTTCAATAAGTCATACCAAATGGTATCACCATCAAAGGAATAAACGGATCAGATAAAGTCACTTGAAGTTCATACATCCAGAATCTGTCTACCCATCCATCCACGTGGCTGCTTCAAATAAAATTCTGTACACACGTTTTTCCCTATCAGAGTTATTTAAATTTGACAAACTGGAGTTAACTTATCAGCAGACAAGCAAACATCCACCACCAGACATTTCCAACACAAGGCACTGACATGAATAACAAATGCATATATATGAGATGCCTCGAAGCCCCATTTAAGTTAAAGTAAAAGTAAAGCTGTCCCACTATATGCCAGTGCTCTGTTAATCAATGCAGAGATAGCAACAGTCACATGCAATATTGGCTGTCATCCTACTCATATGAACAGCATCACAGTGATTAGGACGTAAAAGAGAATTCAAAAGAAAAAAAAAATCATATCAAACAATTTTAAAGGGGGAAAAAAATGTTGCAACTGTTTTCACGGGGTCAAAAACATAAACTGTATATAAGATTTGAGGTTTAAACAGCAGTGAGCATGAAGATTTCTGTCTTCTAGGTTGTTGCACTGTGTAGTCTGGTTGATGTTTACCAACGTTTCAGAGGTCATACTGCCTCCGTCATCAGGGCGATGAGTATGAAGATTTCTGTCTTCTGGGTTGTTGCGCTGTGTAGTCTGGTCGAT